ACCTAAACCCTAAACCCTAAACCCTAAACCCTAAACCCTAAACCCTAAACCCTAAACCCTAAACCCTAAACCCTAAACCCTAAACCCTAAACCCTAAACCCTAAACCCTAAACCCTAAACCCTAAACCCTAAACCCTAAACCCTAAACCCTAAACCCTAAACCCTAAACCCTAAACCCTAAACCCTAAACCCTAAACCCTAAACCCTAAACCCTAAACCCTAAACCCTAAACCCTAAACCCTAAACCCTAAACCCTAAACCCTAAACCCTAAACCAGGCTAAACCCAAACCCTAAACCCTAAACCCAACGAAAGGCTAAACCCTAAACCCTAAACTAAACCCTAAACACTCCATGTCGCTCTCGCTTGGGTACGAATGCATTGAAATTCTCCTCGGTCACGACATGCATGTCTGGCCAAAACAGTGAATTGACTGAAGATGCATGATTCATCAAATATTCTGTTTCCTCAGCTCGAGTTTCGGAACGCTGTTCTGATGCTGAAGACATCAAGCTGCCTTTTGTTGTTTGTTCTTTGTGGAGGAACAGTGGCAAACCCTCTGCCTGCCATCCATGAAAGAGCTTATCATGTATCATACTTTGTTTATCGATTTTTTTTGCCTGAATAGTTTGATCTCAAGGAAAAAGCCATGTCTATCTACCTACTTAAGAGTGAAATCGAAATGATTTTTGAAAATACTTTGATGGTAAGCAAAAGCACAACAGTCAGTCAATTTAACCAAGACTTACAGACACGGAGAAGATTTTTTACGAGCTTCTCTGAAGACGATGAGTCCAGATGGAAATCGACAATGGAAAAGATTGTAATTCTATGCATTGATGTTGCAACAAAATGAATGTTCGATTCAGGAATTTTGTGAAAGCATGCGGGCAATTAAAAAGCAAGTAGGAAATTCAGAGGCTGATGCTGCTCCTGCTGGTTGGTATCCCAAGCAACCACAGGTGTATGAAGCTCTACCAGCCCCCGACATGGAGCTGCCAGACATGGCTCAAAACGCGATCGGAAATTATTATGAGAGGGATCCTGACTTACTTCCTGATGCGGTACGTGTGTAATAAGCTCACAAATATCAATGTTTTTATATGGATAGAAAATTAGGCGTGATGAACCTGACATACAAGCTGATATTTCAAAGAGGATACAGTGATTGAAATAATTACACTGTTTGTATGGAGAGAGTCATGTGAAAATTCTGTTTATGATGTTGACCATGAACTACTACTGTAGTTGTAGAAGAGATACACAGCACGATTTCAATGATGCTGATAATGTTGTAAATCAGAAATTTCAAGTCAATGTGACAGCAATGACGATGATAATAGAGTTAACACAAGGCTTTTGCAGTGGATCGCTGCTGATACAAAAGGAGTATGGCTCGGGAGACCCAAAATTATGACTAAACTTGGCAGTCTTGGTGAGATCGACAGAAGATTACGACATCTCGAATCCAAAATATCTTCAAAAGATGGACGGAAGTGAGTCTCTGCAGAAAAATGACCAAAGGGAACAGTATTTCTCCAAGAAATGTACAACCCCGAAGAATGGATAACAGTTCATTCACATCTTGTCAGTCATCGCGCGTTTAACATTTCAGAATAGACTACAGAAAATACATTGTTGTCATGTCTGTTATCTAGAAATCAGACTTTTAATAACAGAACATAAAGAGAACATGCCTAATTCAGCATACCACGAAATATTCTCGGGAATAGCAGCGGATTTCATTATCAGAGCGGAGAGTTTGGGCTTATATCTGTGAACTCATGTTTCCTCCATGCCAAGTCGGACATTATTGTATTCGATACCCTCAGCCTCAGTTGAGAAACACGCCCCCTCTGTTCCCACCTTAGGTTGTCTGGCGTACATCATGCATTCTGAGCTGACGGTTGCTCATTTTCCTCTCTGCTTGAATGAATTTTTTTTTTCCATCTTGACTCGCTTGCCCAAATACTATCACTGCGTTTTCCTGATGATTTTCCCCTAATCTTTGAGTCTACCAATGGTCAAACACTGCCGCCTGCCTTGAGTTCAACTTAGCCTCTGAGGAAGCAACGGCTTCGCTCCCGCCACCATTCCTACCAACAGCCTGTTCTGACACAACCCACCAATATGAAACTATGGTGTGATCTGAATCAATAAAATTATCCTTCGATTCAATTGCAAAGAGAATCAAGGGGAGTTTGTAGTTGGACATCAAAAGATAGTCAGGCAGAACAAAAAACACAAGAAAAGTATATAAAAATGCATTGAAAAGAAGCAAATGCATAAGATAAATGTACGGACGGATGTTTGGAAGCAAGAGACAGGAGACGTCGAAAAGGCAGAAGGCAATAGAGAAGAAAAGCAGATAACCAGCAAGATGCAGCGGGGCGCCTCAGATAAACGGAGAATTCCCACCGATGGGTGATGAAGACATCGACGAAAGAGATTACATGCTCAATCAGGTTGATCTTATGTTTGGTTAAAGCGCCATCAGCACACAACGTGGACGAGGGATAGCAAAATGAACGGTAGTGTGATCACAAGACAAGGGCAGGAAAGAATATTTGTAGGTCATAAAAGTTACATCGATTGAAATCTCACTTTTTGTTCGGCCCCCCACCGAGATACCACCAGATCGCATCGTTTCGTGAACAAGGCTGTTTTTACTCATGTCACGAAGCAAACATGCCTCGAAGCAAACACGCGTCACAGCAGTCTCATTGCAGCACACATCAAGATCTCCTCGATAACTTGATATCGTTTGTCCACCTTGAGACCTGACAGCAACAAGGATATAATGAACAAAAGCTACGAATGAAGACAAGCTGACAGTCATCCAACTACTTTGTCACTTTGATTCGATAAATGTTGGCGAAATACAGTTTCGTCCATAGTTTTGAGACATTATGAAGAATATACCAGAACTGCGAAGACAATTGTTCATGCAAAAGAGAATTGTTCAAATATGCAAAACGTATTCAAGAAAAGAAAGAAGCGAAAAGATATCAAGCGTGTGATACCGGAAGACTGACTAAAGATAAACCTGCTTTGCTCGGAAATCGACAGCAAATCTATCTTGAAGGAGTTCCTCGTTAACGAACCAGACAAATAATTTGATTGCAGCAAACACACAATCACAATATACCCGAAAATTGTAGTTGAGGACTACACGAAATTTGTCAGACCTGCTCGAAACTGTTTCGGTTTAATGACAGACAACTGTGTTACAATGCTCAAGAGACGTTCGCTTGAAGTAGGATGAGCTTGCTTGAGAATTGAACGAGGTCGCTCAGCTGAAGCCATCGATTAGTCTTGTTGCTGCAAAAAATCCTCCGACTTCCTTTTGAATGATATTTTGGAGTTAACAAGGAAATTCTTCTGTCAGCTTCCAAGCATGTGGCAGGCGGATATATAAAGTTCTTTCCGTGCAATCAACTGCAAGAGGAACGCTGCCCATGACGACAAAACAAAGCAAGAAGCAAGGATCAAGGATTTGACAAGTATTTTCACATGAAGGCACCGTCTTTTGAGGCTTTCAGAAACGATCTACATGACCTTTCCAACTTTCAAGGATGACAACAAACCGAACAGAAACAAATATCTGCTTTTGAGAGATCTTTGTTATTAAACATGAGTAGTCAATGGCTGCAAAGTATATTCTCTGTCTCGAATTTGAAGTTTGTCGATGCATCATGCGGTTTCAGCAGAATTAGCCGTCCTACATCAAGCCCTTCTTTTACCTCTCAATTCGGACAATTTCTGCCTGTCATGTAACAATGATGCCTCAAATTCATTAAAAAGTTCAGCAAATCTTTCAGAGTCAAATCAAGATACGAAGACGACTATTGCACTTTGCAATATCGAACCTATTTGAGTTTATTATCCTGAAATCCTCGAGAATGCATGAGAGTTAGCTCCTCAGATTCTACTCGGGATGAAATTCTCAAACTATTCAACAAGGAGGAGAAAGCAAGTAGAACGATTTGCTTATGATTAGGTGGTTTACGCAATCAAATAAATGGGCAATGTACAGGTTTATTTGTGCATAAGTATTTTTTTCATTCAGCTACAATAAGCCACTCCAGAGTGATTTGTCTCTATCCATAGTCTATTCACAAACATAAGTCTATGCCCATGGAGGGGCCATCCTCGAGACTGTTTTAGTTGTGCAGGAAACTGACTTAAATCGACAATATGTCACACATGCTGTGAACGCCATGTGATTTGTGAACCTGAATGAAGAAGTAATCAATGAAGCAAGGTCCCTCGACCTGTGGTGTTTGCTTGCAGATTTACATTGAAGTGCAGATCATTCGCAGGTAATCTCCGTTTCCGTCGGCATTTCTGCGTCTTGGTTGCATCATTCCTCACGACGATGTACAGACGTGCCACTCCGGAGGTTGGTTCAGACGACTGTGCTAAAAAGTTTTATTTCTTTTTTCCGAAAGAAAAAACTAAAAAGAAAGATGTGGGGGCCATTAAGTGTAAAATTGAAAATGGATTTCCAAATAGAGTTGTTTCGGTTTTCAGATACGACCTCGCTCATTACCACAAGAGGAGGCCGCCCGATCTTCTTACAGCTGACATCTTACAATTACACCGTTTATAAACCACCCCTTCTGTATAGGCATTCACAGGGGAGGTTTAGGGTAACCCCTTTACGGCCTAAAACATGACCCTCATGCTGGGAAGGGCGAGAATAAATGAACACGAAGCTTTTCGTTTTTGCATCGACCCCTACCCCTTAAGATTTTTCCATCTTTCAATGCCCATCACACACATCCCCTCTATCTTGCCTGTACCCCCTACAAGCCAATGAAAACACCCCACCTTGATCCCATGGAGCACGAGCCAGGTGTTTCGACTACCCCCTTATTTCGCTCTGTTTCCACCACCTACCCCACAGAGTTCAATAAATCTACCGTACCCCCTACTGATCTACCGAGTCGAAGTCACCTCTCAAACTGGTAGGGGAGGGGTCACTACCCCCACCCCCGAAACATCTCAATCAAAAAAGCCTCGGACTAGATTCCTCTCGCACCTCCACCCACCTCCACGTTCTTGATGAAAACTTCAGACCTCCTCCCTTCTGCTCGTTTTTTTTTGCCAGTCCCCCGCGTCTCTTGTATCCTACTCTTTCCGTCTTGCCTCTCCTTGTTCGCTTCACTCAGCACGCCTTGCATACTCCAAGTCACCCACACCTGCCTCAAATATCTCCATGAACTCTCTCGCCCTTCCCCTCCTCACTGTTGCCCTCTGTCATCCATGTTTCGTCCTTGTACAGTACGTGTCTGTCGTTGCCTAAGAGCCATCATCAGTCTACTCTTGCGCCATGCTCCATCTGCATGCAGCACGGGCTCTCCCTTCTTGTCTCGATGTGCCACTTCCTCACTCCTCTTCGATCCATGCTGTTTTGTACAAATCTTCAGTGTAATGAGCTTTGAGCTTGTTTCGTATCTGCTGCGAATTGCTAGTTGGTTTGTGCCGTTTTCAAAAGAATACTGGCTCGGACGACTACACGTTTGCACTCATGACATAACTGCATCGTATTGTTCTGCATGAATGTATGATTGATTTCGTCCTTCCGTCATTGCTTGTCTTACCTTGTCCCGTCTGCCGTCATTGCACATGTGCGTGTGATCAGCGATTCGCTTGCTGTCGATGGTCACTTTCAGGATGAATTACAGTCATTCCGCATACAGTCATCGTGCTTTGTACTAAAGAAATTGATTGATGTCCATCTGCTCAATGTTGCATTGACACCAAGACTTGATTGCCATCTGTCATGCAATCAGGCACTAATACACTTGCTGCCCAATCTGTACTTGTTGAACTGGTCTATTTCATTGATTCTTTGATGACGAGCGATTCTCAGGCTCTCATTGGGGTCGCCATCGGTTGATAGGAGACTGACGAGGGTCACCTGCTGCGTGCCAACTGCTGTGACCTCTGCCGCGATGACTGAGAGTACAACGAAGCAACAGCTCAACGCACAGCTGGCGATAGAGATCTACAAGAAGCGAGAGCACGGAAACGAGAAGACCATTAAAAGCTCTATCGTTGCGCTCCAGTATGGGATGAGTCCCAAAGCCATTCGCGACATATGGAACAGAAGAACCTGGTCGGCCACCATCGTTGCACCTGCTTTCCCTTACTCGACACCTCAGGTCCCACGCGACGGAATTCCTGTGGACAGTCGAGGAGCGGGAGGAGTACTACAGTCATCGACGATGTTTACAATGTAGATTGGCACAAAATGGTGAATACAGCGCTGCATGCGCATCTCTCTCTCTCTTGCTCTCTCTCTCTCTCTCTCTCTCTCTCTCTCTCTCTCTCTCTCTCTCTCTCTCTCTTCATAACCCTCTCTCACCCTCTCTCTCCTCCTAAACCCTCTCTCCCCCTCTCTCTCTTTCTGACTGAATCTTGGCAGACTTTTGCTCAGTATGTGCTCTTCACAAAGGGCCTGGTCGACCGGTCGGCTCGAAGGACACGAAACCCAGAAAGAAGAAGAACAGAACCAGTTTTAATATGGTAACTCTACGTCCGTTTCAAAACCTTGAGTGACTCAGATTGCAGCGAGCAAATTCTTCCATTTCCAGACATCTCAAGCCGCAAGAATCCATTACTGTACATATCAAGACAGAAGAATCTATTGCTTTGCATCTGAAGACACAAGAATCCATTGCTGTACAACTCAAGACACAGGAAATTTTGACGCCCTGCTTTGCTGAACCAGACAGGACTAGAAGTCCGCGCTTACACGATCAAGAACATGAGAACGGGGATGCCAAAATTGGCCAAGCTCAGTCACCTCCTCCTGATTTTGATGCATTCTTCCTGCCCGAGCATCATAACAATGAGACAGACGGGTTCGACAGACGGCGTGATGTGATTCACTCTGAGCTCGCTGACCACATGCTGAGCGGGACATTGCTAGCACAAGAAGCTCAGGACCTTTCCGACAACTTGATTTCCACATCCTCTCACGAAGTTATGCGAGGCTCTGCAGCTTTGGGAACCATGGAGGACGCAGTGGGCAAACAAGGGACTGGGGTTCTGCAACAGTGGAGTAATTTCTGGCCTCCGATGCTGCCATGATCATGTAGATTAAGATGAAACCAGTTGAGAACTGCATGTGCTATTACTTAGGTGTGATGAGTGTGGGTCAATAACGCAGATACGAGTACAATATTCACGCAGATAAGGGTACAATATTGATCTCGACCGCCGTGACTCTCCTCACTCCCACACTTCCTCGCGGCAACCCCCTCCTTCACGTGCTCGATTGAGCAAGCAGTCAGCGGCTCTTAAAGCCATTGCGTACGGCCTTGTCAAATACAAATTGCGACAAAGCGAGAGATGGCCGACGGGGAAACTTCGTGAGATAAAAAATGTCTTCTTGTTGTTTCATTTTCACTTCACTGCCGCCTCATTCTCGTCTTAAGATTCTGATATTTACATCTAGATTTCGTCCAAAGGCTAAGACGTCAATCTTTTTTAGAGGCCGAAACGCGCAGGAGGACGTCGTGGCGCTTGACCTACGCGTGTGCAGAGAGGCAACACGAGTTAGCGCAATGCGAGCACACAGCAACATCAAGGGAGCAGAGGAAGGGATGGAGTAGAGAGGAAAGAGCAAGCCACTAGAGGGAACAACACGCGTAAGGAGGAACACGTCAATAGGAAGACATAGGTTACTTCATCCTACCATCATACTTGCCCGGAGCAGCGATGGTTGAGCTGCGAGACCGATTGGCCTGCGACAGGATCAGATGCTGAAACGATTTACAGCGATGAAAGATGCGGAAGGAAGATGGAAGTAGAGAAAGGACGGAATGTACCTGAGAGGTAACAGCTTCCTTCTCGAGCTGCTGCTGCTCCCGCTGCCTCTCGAGGTCTCTTTCCATCTGCTTCAGCACCTCTTCGCCTAAATGCAGTCAGGGCCAAGTCTCTGATCATCCTACACGTACTTCGTCGCTTCTGTGCCATCCTTCCTTGGAACGAATTCTCCTTAACCTGGAAGAACATGGGGCCCTGGCAGAGGTTTCAGACAGTAACGCCACTCCACTCGCACTTTCACCTGCTCCGCAAGCCAGTAGGGATCCACCACGGAAACACACTGCAGTCCAGTTACTCAAGTGACCAGAGATGGACTGGTCACACCTGCATGTATTCCTTGGTGGTCAGGACAAGCTCATGGTAGACCACGTAGTCGGGCGTGAAGCCTGCATAGTGGATAAGAGAGAACGCACGAAGGGTAGATGACAAGAACTGACCGATTCCATACAAGGATGAAGTCGGGTGGAGATAACATTTCATTGCTGTCCTCAAGTTTTCATACTCTCCAACTCCCTGAAATTTCATCTGAGACACATAATCTAACATTGATACTCTCTTCCCCACCTTCATTCTTGCAGCGTTGATGAAGTAGGCGGAGCAAACAGCTTGGCGCACCTACAAGCTTATCACACAAAGCAAGCGCAGCGTGTTTGCACACTTTGTCCCAGTCATGCGCGCATGAGAAGAGCGACATGCTCTGAGTGGCGCAGATGTCTTGCAGTTGAGACCTGACCTCTCTCACTTTCTTCAACGACTTGACCTGAGAAATCTCAGCTGAGATCTCAACACACTTCTGTCGAAGTAGCTACCTGCAGGAAGTGGGAAGAGCACCAGTCTGCCCTATAGTCATTCGCCTTCCACTGCTGGAAGACGTGCAGCATCGTCAGGTGATCGCTCTCCGGCACCGCAAACTTCTCGCGCGCTGCGTCGCTCTCCTCCGCACGATCTTTGGGGCGATAGAAGATGTGGCTCAACCCACCCACAGAGAGACACGCCACGATCGTCAGGACTTCCTGATTGCAACGCAGCTCCTCTGCCTGGATGAGCATCTTTGACAGCGGAGGATCAAGTGGGAACTGCGCCGCTCGTGACTCCCGAGTCAACTACTATCGCACAAGTACCTCAACCATCTTCTTCCCCAACGCAGTGATCTCTCCTGTGTTCCCAAGCGCACCAAGAATCCATAACTTGGGCAACACACGTGAGCAGACATTAGAAAGGAGAAGCTATGTACCTGATACATCGAATTCAACATGTTCTCTTCCGGTGGAGGATCCATAAAGTCGAAATCCTATTTCAAGCATGTCACCTGCTGGAAAATTGTGCCATGTCGTTGTACCAGAAGATTGTTGACTCCAAGAGACTTTAGGAGGAGAATGACTGAGACAAGTCGATTAATTCGATCAGGAGCTCGAGTCTTCCATACCATTTCCAAGATTTGTCCGTTGAATCTCGGGGATGGTGTTATGAAGCATTTCAAAGTCAAAGGCAGTCTCTGTGAAGAGCCTCCAACAGATGCCCGGGCCAGTCCTACCCCTCATCTCAGCACCTCCCATCAGGAGCAGCAATGATTACCTTCCAGCTCGTCCCGATCGCTGTCGCGCATTCGCTTGACTTTCGGGGGTGACTTGAAGAGAATCCATTCCCATTCGCGGGTTGTAGACTTTGAGTTTGTAGAAGCCACAATCAATGACATATTTGATCCCGTCGATAGTAAGTGAAGTCTCCGCAATATTTGTCGCAACGACCAGCTTTCGTGTATCGCCGCTGACGGCTTTGAAAATTTTGGCCTGAAGCTCTGACGGCAACATACTGTGGATGGGCATGATGTCAAGCTCAGCAACAGTCGCGCCATCCGCCTTAAGTTCGTCAAGTCGCTCCTGCAAAGATGAGGTCACGCGCTATTTCTCTCAAGCAAACAAGCTTGCCTGCACAAGGAAGCAGACTGCATCAATATCCTCTTGTCCGGTCATAAACACAAGGATGTCTCCTTTCGCGTAACTCACGTGGATTTGCATGACCTGCTTGACGGCTGCTTCAACATAATCTTCCACGGGCGATTTGCTATGCAAGATCTCAACGGGGAATGTCCTGCCTGGAATGTGGAACACCGGAACTCCACCAAAAAAGTCTGAGAACTTGTCGGCATCCATGGTCGCAGAGGTCACTATTAGCTTGAGATCGACACGCCTAGACACCACTTGTCTCAAAATACCAAAAAGAACATCAGTGTTGAGAGAACGCTCATGAGCCTCGTCCATGATGATACAGGAGTATTGGTCCAAATCCTTCTCGTTCAGAGTCTCGCGAAGAAGTATTCCGTCAGTCATGAACTTCAACAGAGTAGATTCACTGGTACAATCTTCAAAACGAATCGCATAACCGACTGTAGCTCCAAGATCACAGCCAACTTCTTCACTCACCCTCTTTGCAACTGACATCGCAGCCACGCGACGAGGCTGTGTGCAACCTATCTTTCCGTAACTTGAATAACCGTCCTCGTGTAAATATTGTGCCATTTGTGTTGTCTTGCCGCTTCCTGTTTCTCCGACCACGACAATGATTTGATTGTCACGAATTATCCTCAAAAGCTCGTGACGGACAGTGAAAATGGGGAGACTTTCTCGCTGCTGCTTTATGGTTTTAGTTTTTGCAAAATCACTCACGGCGACCGACTGAAATACGACAAGTCAGTGCACAAGCAACAACAACAGCACAACACAATTGCAATCAAGTCATGAAGATAAGGAGTGAAAGAGGCAAAAAACAGCAGAACTAAGAAATATTTAGACTTGCCTTCTCTGACATGTGATCCTTGAACTGCGCTGTAGCTTTGTAGTTGACTTCTCCATCTTCATTCAATTGCTGTACATCTTCTTTGTCATCTTTCGGTTTTTCCTTCAGGCCCATCAAATTTCCCATCTTTGAGCCTTCGACTTCCCAGAAGCGTTCACGACATTTGTTCAAGTCCCGTTTCTCACGATAGGTTCGAATAGATTGGCATCCTTTCCTCGCTATTTGTGCAAGATCAGAGGTTGGGTCACGAACAGTCGCGACGGCATCCTGTTTCTTCGTGTGTACTTCGCGGCCATCAAGAAAAGGAGGCCTTATATCTCTCACCATCAGATGAACTTTGCCAGCAGTTTCTTCTTCGTCTTTCTCTCTAGCGTTGGCTGTGACAACACCAGAATTCAGAAGCTGATTTTCTATCCATTTATTGTCGTCTGTATCCCACGCTTGTTGTCTGGCAGAGATCCTCTTCTTTGGTTTATCCGATGCCTCGGATCCACCAAGGCTCGAGAAAGGATCGTATGCACCAGTTTCATCAAGAAACGTCCCGCCTTCATCATTGTCGTACCAATCACGATCTAGCGCTTGCTCCATTTCTTCATATTCTCGCATTTCTTCTTTCGACATTTCAGAAGTCCTTGTAGTTGTCGTGCCCGATCTGTAGTCTCGCAAATTTTTGCCATACGCTTCTGCACGCTCTCGTTCTGGTTTGGTACCTGTGCTTGCAACAATATCCCACTGGTCTACAGATGTCCTAGCCGGGGTGCTAGCAACCGATCCATTAACTGAAGGGCTCTGCCTGCCAGACGGAGCGTCAGGTTCCCAAGTGCTTGCAGACGATCTGACTGACTCTGATCCCGGGCCACGGTAACCGCGCGTGTATTCGCTGGTTTCAAGGTCACTGTCTCCTTTCTTTCTGTACTCGTCATTGTTGCGCCTTGACGATTGTCCGGAGTTATCCCGATGTCGTTTCGCTCCATCATTATCATCTTGCTGACTATCGGATCCCTTGACACGATAATGTCGCTGCCCTTTCGAGCCTCGAGAGTTACTGCCTGAGTCAGCGACTTGATCATCGAGGGCGTTTTCCTCTTGACTCTCAAAAGACATACGACCACGTTTCGGAAGCGTGATGCCTTCTTCTAGCCTTTTTTTCTGAGCAAGGCTTTGCAGTCCAAGAACTGACTGTCTTGCTTCTGGTTTCTTAAAGACTGGCTTATCACTGTTGATGCGCACAAGACCTCCCTTCGTGATGCCACCCCCTTCCACGCGCTCACGGGCACCACCTGAAAAACCTGCCATCGACTGCTGCATCTTGACGGATGCAGCATGGTCGGTAACACGGCCAAGGATCTTCCTCTGAAGGTCTCCAGCAAATGGAAGGTTCGACCCGAGTTCCGCCTTGACCTTTTCATCAAACGAATTTGGGTTTCCCTTGCACGAGACTGCAAGACTGACTATTTTCTTCGCGTCCGTGATGGTCAGCGAACGAGACAGTTTTCCTCTGGCAAAGCTGTTGAGGTCTTCGAGTATTCCATTGTACAACTTGTCAGCTTGCTGAGACACAAGCGAGCCTTCGTATTCCCTTGCAACTACAGACATTTCTTTGCGTTTGAGAATGCGAACTTTCCCCCCGAATAAAACAGTTATCAACTATCTTGCATCCACTCTCGGGCTGCACAATGCTGCATGGCACTTTCCTTCGAATATAATGTCAGATACAGCAGAGCAAGATATCTGCAAAATGATCCTACAACCAAGATCTATCGCACAGCTGTATGAAACCTCAAGTGCATGGCACACGAACATGAGAACAATACATGGAGTCACAAACAAGGCATGAAATCAAGTGGAGAATCGTTGCTCTGATAAAGATACTTCTAAGACACAATGCAATTCGTGAGTACGAAGGAGACTTGAAAACACTGAAGCGATAAAAATTCAAATGTTCCTGCCATGCAATCTAGGCAGACACACAAGGCATGCTAGGAACAGCATTGGACATTTCCGGACGAGAAGAAGAGAGAGTGAGGGGAAGGAGGGAATGAGAAGGAAACTAGATCTCATTCGCTCGCTACCGCCCAATCCCCCACGCCAGCCGCGCGCATGGCAGCCTGAGTGAGGAAGACGAGTAGAAGGTGAGAGAGGGTGAGCATTGAATGCAAGCCGAATTGGTGGGTTATTTAGTACTATAGTGGGTCCGAAAAATGGGGTATGGATACACCGAAGGGGGTGGGGGGTGGGTCCTCTCGTGGAGAATCAAAATTGGCAGTTACAGCCGTTGCATTCCTCGCGCTGGGTCACCGCCGGATATGAACCGGGCGGCGCCAGAGTCCGATCGGAGTGCACGGCAGTGAAGCGGCCGGGCCTGCCCGGCGGCCGCCGGCGAGGTTCTCACCGTGTGAGTCAAGCGGCGGCGCCCGGCCCGGCTTGAGCCAAGCCGCCGTCGCAATCATAATAGTATCCGAGTCGCGGCCGCCGGGTACTCAGGCTGGCGCCAGACTGGCCCGGGCTCAGTAGCAAGTTCCGAAGTTCATCCAATGCATTCAAGTCAAGTTGATCCACCGTACGGTCTCCGACTTCTGGCATGTTGAAGATGACAAGTAGAACTTCGGAAGACAGGATGTTGGGCAAGTTCAGTTCATCATGGAGTTAATCCACTCTCGCACGGCGTGACAGGTGACAAGCAGAGTAGATGCGATTCGGAGAGAGGATGTGTTGACGGACGAGGTTCTGGAGTGTTGGGCCTCGGAAGGACAGGAGCTCCCTGCAGCACCTGCTCGCCACTGATGTCATTCTTTCCCGACGAGCTTTGCTCTTTTCGCCGTACCACGGGATTGCCATCAAGTTGCCGAACGAAATGACCCTTTGGCCGCCAATGCTTTTTGCAGAAGTGTTTGACAGGAATACTCTGAAACATGATGGTGAGTTCTGAACATGATAAAGATCGAGTGCAAAAATGTTACCCGCGTGGAAAAAGCCGCTGTAGACCAGCACTTGTAGTGATTGCAAATCCGCCTCTGGATATGCAGTCACTCCTTCTTGCTTCTGACCTTACGGCAAACCTTCAAGTGCACATCGCCCCATGAGCGATGAGACGCACAAAACCTGTTTGCAAAGAACGTTCTCAGATCAAAGCCAATCTTAGGGTTTCAAACCTAGCTAAGCCTTCTGCTGGATTGCCGTAGTTTGCCAACCTATCACAACCCAAAGGAAATTTGCATCGCTGCTGTACCATCAGAATGTTCAACACACTCAGCATTTTGCTTACCTTAGAGTTCAAGTCATGAAAGTCTATGGGCTTGTGCTTAGCGCAAAATACCCTGCAGAATGTGGTAAGCAAGTTACAACTCATTCAAGGTATTTGCCTCGCTCCATTGTTCCAACTCCTACTGCCCTGCGTGGCATATTGATAGCATCCTGGGACCTGACAAAACTTCTTTGGCGAGCCCATATCACCTTTCTGAAAGAAAACTGTGAGAACTTGTTCTAAAGAAACAATCAGAGGTACCTTCCGATGGAAGCCACATCGCTCTGGAATCACAATGAATTTACTATTAACATTTCTGTTTCCTGATGACATAGTTTTGAAGTCATCCATGTACTTTGGCTGTCCAAATAATGCCCGTCGAGCACATCCAGGAGAGCTACATCTAGAAAATCAATCGATAAGACATGAAGCAGCGAATGTGTTCAGCGAACTAACTTCCGGCAGACCACGTCGACCTCATCGGCATGCTTGTGCTCTTTGCAATGAGCTGCCGACATGCGATGTCCATTGATGGGACCGAATGTAGCAAATCGTCTGCACAGTCTGCAACGTCTTCGAACAAAGCTCGCAGTCAATAAATTCCAACACAAAACGACTGGAAATGTAATTGTGTTACCTGTACAACGAAATGAAATGTGGCGGCAGAGGTCTGCAGCCGACAAGACATTTCTTGCAGAAGAAAAAGGTCCATTTCAGGCTCACCGGACAGGCAACACCAAATGAAGCTGGTGTTTGCTGAATTTCATGTCAATCGTGTCGCCTAGGTGGAGTCATTAAACTTACCTCCCGGTTTACAGACATGCAAGAATGACAGTGTTTTTGGTTGAGACAGTCTTGCCACCAGCCTTCTTTGATGAGATCTAAATTTGACTTGTCAAAACGTGGAATGTTACATTGGACATCGGTGATATCGCAAACCTGAAAGGTGAGAGCGAAGCAACGATGTCATGTTATGCTCAGATAGTTTGGGCAAGGAAGAATCAGGAGCGGAGCAACAGGTAGCTGAGTGGTTTGCTGTTGGCCTACTGAGTCGTCTGAGCTCATGTAACGACGTCTGTGCCTCTGTAGCAAAGGTGGATGCATCCGGCAGTGCAGAACTGAACAGGCACAACTTCTTGCCGTGAAGTTCTGTCAGCACAGTTAGCTTCAGATTGTTCAAGTTATCTTTATCGAACCATGTTGATCATCAGCATCTTTTTCGAATTTCAAGCGTGTTTGAGAAACCATGGCATGTGATTTGTGACCAGCCCTGCAGCCATAGGGCCCAAGCGTGAGAATTACGTCCCCATCGACGGCGGTGCCGACGCCATGACATGACATGCTGAATGATATCAGCAAGGCGAACCACCCATGAAAATGCCATGTCTGTATAGAACGTTTACGTTTCATGTGCTTGCGCTCTGACCTTAGGCCATAGTATGCCTGGGGCTGTAGAACTGTCTGTGTGTCGCCCCTAGAGTGACTCCGACCTGGCCATGATCTCATGCTTCTGTCTTTACAAGATATCGCATCTGCTCATTTTCACTGGCACAGTATTTAGCATTCGAGGTATTGTTTCATTGAATATCAATCCCTGTCCGTTTTGTTTCGATTGAATGCATCCTTGCTCAGAAAGCGCAAATCGACAAGTAGTAGTTGCATCTTTGGATACACAAATTTCAACCAGCGCCTCCTGTCCCTGTGAACACTCTTCTCACTGGACTGGACTGTCTCAAATACTTCTGTCCATCTCATCTCACGTCACCCCAGCATGTTCTTGTCCTCCACCTCATCCTCTTCGACCTCTGGAAGCCCTGGGCTCGCCATGTGCTCCGATGTCCCAAAACTACCCCACCCCCATCAATTGTATTTTTATTCCAATGATCTTCGGGGCCTATTACAGTATAGTAGTACCCCTACCCCACAAATGTCCATCCGCATGTTTGGGTCGTACTAGCTGGTTGACCTGGCGCCTGTCGTCCGTCTGTGGAATTCTCAGGCCCGGCCCGGGCCCGTAAGGTCTGTGCCGGCTACTGTGCCGGTCACTGAGAGGGATCTGAGAGGGGATGGGGCCGTAGAGCTATAATAAGCATTTTTTTCGGCTCGCTCACCTTTGTCCTCTCTCCTCCTTCCTCTCCTACTCTTTCTTTCCTCCTTCTCCTCGCCAATACCTGCTGACTTCCCTCCGTCATCGTGACCGTGCTCGTCTCTCAATCGCTCCTTTGCCTCCTATCTGGTTCTTCCACTAGTTACCATCCGCATGAAGAGAAAAGGTACACGCAACCTCGCGCACGTTTGCAATGTCGGATTGATCATGTCTGCAGAAGACAAACACGTCACTCTCGATCATTTTGGAGAGGTTCATGTTGATGTCAAGAGAAGGTGCGAACAACTCTGTTTGATGACCTTGTACTCTCGACTCAATGTTTATGAGAATACCATAAGGAGTCGAAGGATCTTCAACGATTCCCTTGTGCTGACAGCAAGGTGCGGGCGTCATGGAACGACAAGTCCTGCTAATTTCTCGTGTCTGCAGACTTTCGCGCCCATCAACGATTTTGGATACGCGTCGGAAGCTGATGAACTTGGGAGGCATTGCTTGCCTGCTCCTCTTCGTCTACGTCTCGGCGTTTGGACTGGGCCAGGTGAAGCAGCTTCATGCAGTGAAGCAACGAAGCAGCTGCTCGTCCTGACTCCAGCCCAGGGTAATTCGTCAGTATCAAGGCAAAAGCGCCAGAAATCCTCAGCACAACAAGAAGAAACATCGACTCAACAGTTTATCCCTCCCAAGGGATTCCTTCACACCCCTGATAACTCGATTCCCTCTCATGCCCCAGTGGTGGCCGGGGCTTCGTTTGCGTACCAGGACATCAAGCGACTGCAAGGTCTATCAAACATAGCAACAAAGCACGCAGATTCAAAGAATGTAAAAGGTGCCCGATGTTAGGATGTCATGATGATCTTGTTGGGGTTGAAAGTGATGATGATATGATGATGGGTGGATGATGATCAAGAATGAGTGTGCACATGCCAAGTCAAGGGTGACTTGTCGAGGTGATAGAGGTGTTAGGGGCATGAAAATCATATCTATTGTGCTGATCCATCTGATGTTCATGGAGGCAAAAACAACTGGGATGACAATCTGCTCTCTCACAGAAGTCGCTCCCCCAGCTCCTCGAAAGCGAGTTGCAGCAAAGATTGTGCATGCCACGAGGAGCAAGATTTCGACGGCTGAAATTCAAGCGCCGCTCAAGGAGAAACCTGGCGATGCGGTGGAAGCAGCAGCCCATGGCCGTCGAAAACAACAAAAATCAAAGGCTCGCACTGCCTTCCAATCTCCTGTCATGGCGGCTGAAAGCTCGGGAGTGGAAGCAGCGAGTGCGGCTGGTAACAAAGCTTTCTTCTCTCTCAAAGATTTCATTTGACTTGGAGTGATGCAGAGGAGATGATGAAGGATCCCCTCCTGCCGCATCTGAAGCCTCTGCCTTGAGAACGACAGAATCTTTGGTTATTAAAATGTCTATCTTGCTTGTAGAATTGTTGATGCAAAAGAACCTGTAAGAAAAAGTCTCTACATCTGACGAAACATGAGATGAACGTGGTGTACGCTAGGAAGCAAGAGACAACTTAGCTGTGGTGTGAATCAGAAACGATGTCTTCGCTTCATGCGTCCTTCCTGTCGATGGAAAGAGACCATCAGATTTCGGTGCAGGTTGAATGCTCATTGCAGGTCAAGGGTCACAAGGAAGAGATTACAGTTCATAAAATACCATTTTACACAGACACTACTAATGGCTTCAGCAGCGACTTCTAGACTACAAGGTCAAGCATATAGCAGGCGCATGTTACTGTAAGGAGTAGATATGCCCGCTGTGCGTTTTCGGTCCACGATTCCGAAGGATAGGGATTTTGCAGGAGGAACCATCATCTGTATATACAACATTCCCAAGGCACAGGAGTGACGCAGCAAGACTTGCCTGTGGCGATAGAGTTAGATCGCAGAAAAAGAGAGGAAAGAAAAGGCCGACCTGTTGTTGCACAAGGCGCTCGAGCTCTTGGATGCGGTCTTGAGCAACTCGCTTCTCGTGCAGCAACTTGTCAACAATCTTCTCAAGCTCTTTCACACGAGGACATGTGCAATCGCATCCCTCGCCCTGTGCACATTCCTGCAGCTGCCTGCCATTCTTGTGCTCCTTGGAGTCATGATGTCTGCCGTCGGCAACAAAGTCTCCGTGCAACACTCGCTTGGCTTTCGTGCACGAACATCGCGGTGCAGGCACGTCGGGCGATCCGGCGTCATTGTCCTGGTTCAAATCGATCGCCTCGAGCTTGTCAGCAGAAAAGGGATCACACTGGACATCCTGCTGCGGAGAAGTGGACGGGCTGCTGTCCGGTGAGGGGAACATGCTGATGCGAATCTTAGGGCTGGAGACATTCAAATCTTGGTGCAGCAGATGAGATTTGTTCACAGGCGTGTGGCAGAAAGAAACCATCAGCTCAGCTGCGCTTGGCCTCTTGTCCAGGTTGTCCGAGACACATTTGCGTGCCATGGCACTCATGAATCGAAAGTCTCTGTCAAAAGACTCCGGGAACATGGACTGTCTCGCGTTTGACAAGGTCATGACGCGTTCCATTCCAGTCCTGAAGACGTGATGAACTTCCACAATGAGGAGCCCCAGGCTGAAGATATCAGACTTGTCACTGCACTGCCTTCCCTTCAGCTGTTCAGGTGATGCATAAACTTGCGTCCCAACACCCTGCGTGTGGTTGGATGAGTAAGAGTGAGGGCTGGCCTCTTCCGTGTCTCCTGCGCATTTTGCTATTTCACGTGCGAGGCCAAAGTCACCAAGCTTGATCACTCCATCAATGGAAATGAAGAGATTACTTGGTTTCAGATCGCGGTGAACAACTCCGTGGCTATGAATCCATTCGAGAGCACATGTTACTTGTCGAACAATGCTGAAAGATTCGGCATAATCAACTTCCTTGCGGTTTTCGCTACTAAGCCATTCTTCCAATGTCCTGCACATCACGTACTCCATTTGAAGATAAAGAGTATATTTCCATCTGCACCGGGGTTTTGGCGATGGCTCTTTGGACACGCTGCGAGTTCTACTTGCAACCAGAGCCAAACTGCCTTTCCTCTCGACAGGAGAAGTATGTTCTTCCTCCTCCTCGGTTACAGATGTGTCCTCATGACCCCAAGAATCATACCAGCCATCGTCATCATTGGGCTCATCAGCAAACTCGGAGAGAAAGCTGTCGCCCCTCCACAAGCCTCCTGGAGAAGCGTCAAGTGAACAAGAGTCCGACTTTGATCTGGTACGCCTCAGGGTCATAGAAGTTTCTATGTCGGAGTCCAAGTCACTTTCAAACTCTGTCGATTCCTCCTCGTCCAACACGCATCCATCATTGGAAAGAAGCTGTACAGAAGGACGCTTTGACCTTGCCGAGAAATCTTCTTCAATCCATGCGTTGTAATACCGAACAACGTTCCCGTGATTGTCCAGCTTTGCAAGCATTCGAACCTCGCGTATCACAGACTGAACATGCTCAGCGTTGGAATCATTGATCTCAATCTTTTTGATTGCATACTCTCTGTCTGACAAATAGTGATACACCTTGTAGACTTTCCCAAAGCCACCTTTTCCGATGAAATCCACTTCCTTGAACTCACTTCGGAAGCGCTGTTGGGATGCATGACTCCCCATCCACAGACCAGAGCTGCTAAGAGTGAGATGCAAATCATCTTTGACAGTGTGACCGGAATCCAGAATGCTCAGGTTCAGACAACCTTCTTCACTCTCTGCTACTGTCTGGAGGTGGCCGTTGAAATTGATGCTTGACTCCGGTATTTCAATGCAGATTTTCTTTTCGTATGAGTGGGATTTCATGTCAAGACTTTCACAGTGAGGATGGTCTTGGCCTCGCACATGAGGATTCTTTGGTTCATGATTGGACCCATCAAACTTCATTTGATCGAAAACCTTCCGTCTTCGGCGGAAGACAGTTAGGGGATCTGAAAGAAAACAAGAGTGAGAACGCCTGAGTGATAACAAGAGAAATTTCAAATGAAGACACTCATGATTTTTGAAGTATGTTCCAGAGGCGATACACCTCCATGTGATGTGTTGCATTGTGAACAAGGGCTAGCCATCGCCTCGTTCTTGATTCTCATTCTAAGCTAGATCTATCTGACTCCGAACCAACTCCTCGGCATCCATTCAGATTCTATCTGGACCGGTTAGATCCCTCAAATCTTAAAATAGCCACTACTCGTATCTGATCTCCACTTGGATCGCATATCTACGATCTCCCCGCCTTCCTTCCCTTGCCTCGAAAGCTCCGGATCTTTTCTCCTGCGTCTTCAAATAACTGTTTTCCATATGAATTTAGTTCTCAATGAATCGCTCATGACATCATATTGTTTGGCTTTCTTCTCCTCGTCCTCTGGTGCAACTCTCTTCTCATCTCGCCATTTCTCCCCTTCGCCTGGTCCACCATCTCTCCTACTCCGATTCCATCTGCAAGATCAAACCGAATGCAATAGAGGGGTAGGGGTACATTTGAGTGGGTAGAGGTAGTTTTCATTGTGAAAGGGTTACGATACTACCCCTTCAAATAACACAGTAAAGAGGAAAAAGCCGCGTACTGTTCTAGTTCATCACAAATAATGCTAGGTGGGTACTAAACTTTATGAGTAAAGGACGGGTCTGTTCTCGAAGCAGTGGAAAAGACGAGGGTGGGGGGTCAGCAATGTGGGAAGGCGTTCCTAGCGTTGTAGGAGGTCCTACAGTCTTAGCCACTCGACCGTAGCTTGTCCTATCACGATAGGCCTCATGGCACATTCGAATATATATTATAGTTATAAATTGTCCCAATTTTACAAAATGTTTTTGTTCTCGTACATTCCGAGGGGGGCTGTAGAGATTTCTACCGAAACAAATGCACGCCAACTCTGAACTTTATGGCTGTGAAATATTCCAGAATGCGAATAAGAGCCGTTTCCAATGATAGATGGCATAAAATGATACTAAAAATCTAATCTTAGAATTTACTTTATTCATGGTACTGCTGTCAGAAGAGGCCAAAACACTTGTATATATCTAAAACCTTTTATAATGGAAAGACGATGACCGGCCGGAAGCAGCAGGCCACTCACTACCGTACTGTGGCCGGGCAGTGATGCCATATTCGGAGATGATAGCTGGGAGTGTCGGAGTACCGGGGCCGGGCCGGCCGGCGGCCACCCGGCGTAAACTTCGGACGGCCCGGAAGGCCCGGCGGGCCCGGCGGGCCCCGGGACTCGGGAGTTGTTAGTACGCTCGCCGAGTCGCGCGCGGCGGGGGGGGCCGGCGCCACCGTCACGGTACGGTGCCAGTGGCAGTGCACTCGACAGCCGCGGCTTAGTCACGAATCAATCGGATCATCGGATCGGATGGCCGGCCCGCCGGCCGGGCGTCACGCCACGCGTGACGGTGAGGCCGGGCTCCCGTAGTCCGAGTCAGTGACGGTCGGACCACTACAGCACTGCCGCACGGCCGGCCCCGGCCCCACAACCGTTGAACACTGCTGATCGGAGCCGGGACACTGGCACCGTAGTCTCAGTGGCCGGGCTGACTCGGACTCAGTGAGCCCCGCGTCCCGGAGTCCGACCGTACTGCGGTCGGCGGGCCCTGCTGAGCCTGTGACACGGTGACCGCCGGGCCCGCCGCGGCGCCGCGGCGCCCGGCGGCGGCGCGGGCGGCCGCCGGGCCCGGCCCGGCCACTTGCGAAGTTGAAGTGACCCGGGGCGGCAACCGTTCCGAAGTTCAGGCTAACTAAACTTTCCGGGGGGCGCCAGCCGCTGAGCATGACTCTCAGCCGACTCAAACTTGTAACTCAGTTGACTCAGTCACGGGCCATTGACTCAAGCCCATCATCGGACAGTACGGTCAATCAATGTATGAAGTAACAAGCCATACACTGTGCCAGTGACCGTGGCAGTGCAAGAACTTGGAAGAGACACGGTCCGATCGCACTACCGGCGTTTCTCAGGCTTCCCGGGCCCGGGGACCCCGCCTGCCAGTGCTCAGCCGCCAGTGGCAATGGGACTGTTTAACTTCGAGTCCACTTTGAGTAAAGAGAGGCAGACAGTGTCACCTAGTCAGTGCCCGGCCGGCCGGGAATTCGTGAGGTTCTTTCAGTCATTGCTGTGCGGTAGCGTGGTGGGAAATATAGAACAGACAAGAAGAGGGGCATGATCATTGCAATCTCATTCCCATCTGAAAGAGTCAAACCACAGTCATTATGATGATTCTCCAGCAGATGCTTGTGTATGTGTAAATTTCAAACTTTCAAACTTCCTTCTCATTCTCGGGTGGAAATTCGTTATCTATCAGAACTTGTCGAATGTTCTGCCAAGTTGCAGGATCGCTGAACTCCACCTGGCGATCAAAACAATTCAAAAACAAAAAAATCAAGGAAGGAAGATATCAAAAGGCGACCTGTACATCTTTCGTTTCATGATTCGCAACTACTGATTTCACTCCCTCAATCTTTCCCACCTGCTGAGATAATGAGGTTTGCGAGCAAGGGGCCAGACAAAGAGGGAGGGCAACCTCTCTTTCGATGGTCGACTTGCAATGCCCGCAAGACATCTCAGGTACCTGCCGGACACCGCTCTTGAGTTCATGATAAATGGTGGTGCATACGGCACAGATGTTATCTTGAAGGTAAACTAAAAGCTGTTTTGATAATCTCCCTCCCTCCCTCCCTCCCTCCCTCCCTCCCTCCCTCCCTCCCTCCCTCCCTCCCTCCCTCCCTCCCTCCCTCCCTCCCTCCCCAAGTGGGGACGGCCTGGTTCAGGTCAACTTTTCTCAAGGATACCCGTAACAGTCTTTTCAGGCAGCAGCATCAGCGTCATCCCCCTCTCATCACTTCGAATGAACATCACAATCATAGAAGCTTCCTCATTGTTACGTCTTTATCCGTCCTCTTCTTCACCTTCATCTCCATCCGTGGCATGGCAATGTTTCAGCAGGTATACTGCCTCTGTCTTTATAACAACAAATAAATAGTCATCGCCGTACTGGGGGGTGCTGTCCTACATCTTGTGTTAGTAAAGCCCTGAGGGGAGCTTGAATGGACTTTGACCACAAGGAAATCCAGAATGGAATGCGATGGCGACAGAGTAGCGTTGACGAGAGATACAACGACGAGCTGTGAGAACAAATGTTGAGAAGACATATCAAAGCTAATCACGATGCCGGTCAAGAAAAGCACAAAAGGCCAGAGCAAGACAGGAGTGGATGTCAAAACGAATCGCACAGTAGAACACAAGATTCTTGATGAAGCTGTTGAGCTGCAGAGCAAGAAGTTCTTTATCACTTCATGGAAGGGAAGAATCATCAGAATAACTTGCAATCATTTCATCGTTGCCAAGAACAGAGAAGACCTTTCCAATCCTGAGGCTGATGTGAAAATATTTCCCTTCAACGACATCTTGAATGTGACAAATGACGATGACCGCGTATTTCGATTGAAAACCGCTTCATCGGAAATGATTTTCCGAGCAGCAAACAACAATAGAAGGGATGCGTGCATAAAGTTCTTACAATCATCAATGGAAACTTTCACAGCAAAGGATTACACATCTTTCATGCAGAGAGATGACATCACACGTTATTGGGAACAAAACCTACCTCTCTTGCAACATAAATCCCGCACTACAAGCTTCGCCTTGTCGAAAGTTTACAAAGATACTGAAGAGTGGAAGCTTGTCTCGGACCGCTTCTTTCAAGGTCTGCCGCAGGTTTCGCTCGTCCGGATCATGCGCGTTCAGAACAAAGAATTGTTAAGCAGAACCAGGAAATACCTGGAGATGATGCAACAGCGACTCAAAGCGGATGAATCGCGTCAATCATTAGCAAGCGATCTTGTCTGGCATGGATGCAAAACATCTGCAAACGTCATATCAATCGCTGAGAAGGGATTGCTTGTACATGCAGGGCAAGACGGCGTGAATCAATACGGCAAGGGCTGTTACTTTGCCACTTGTAGCGATCTCGCAGCTCGGTTTGCAGCAACTGTAGACGAAGATCTTGCAAAGTCTCTTGCTGTGCATCCTGCCCGTCTGGTGGGATGCAAAATGATCTTCTTGGCTACTCTCTTCGTGTGTGATGTGACAGTCGGTGATCATGTCGAAGGATCGGCTCCCGTCATCCCTGAATCTCGAACAAAAAGGAGGTGAGACCAAGAGGATTTACTATACGTTACTATGATATTTTGACTCCTGATCTCTACAGATTTGACACGCTTGCAGACAAAGTAGACAAACCAACAATCCTGGTTTCCACCTCAGATGCGCAGAGTTATCCATCTTATTTGATTTTGTTCTCATCCAGCGGATAGAGACCATTCGTTTAGATAGCAATCGCAATGAATCTTATCATCGATCACATTTACACTCATCATGTTCAAGTCATTTCATATCAAGAAGCCAACATAACGAGCACGTGGAGCCTTTTCTATGAGCTCCTGCCACTGAACAACGAACTCGTCGGCTATCGGATACAAGAGCTTTCCAGAGAGAGATAAGGATTTCACTCTGGCAATGCTCTCTGCAAAAATAATCTTTGATCTCTGCATAAGGAAAAAACGGAACAGGAACGCTGAATATGCGATGGGTACACAAGTTCCTGGTCCGTTGCAAAGGACAAGATCAGGTTGAATCATGAATACAAACCACATTGCATGAAATGATGCAATCAGAGTGGTGTACACAGAAGTGATCCATGATTGTTTCACTTCCCGTGCACGAGGAGTTTTCTTCACCATCGCACCGGGAAACTTCTGTCTCAGTTTGATTTCGCTCATCCTATCCGTAGAAGCGATCAAAAATGTTGCATCATCAATCAACGGCGCAGGCAAACTACTTGCAATACTTAACATCTCTGTTGTATGCCCTCCTGATCCCAAAACGATCAGTGTTTTGAATGCTCCTGACTTGGGCCTGACGATCTTGCGATAGACAAGGAGAAGAAGAATCGACGCAATTGCCAACAGAAGAATAATCTGAACAATTTGCAACAACAAGAACAAAGCAAAATCAATTTCCATGTTCGAGAAAACAATTTGGAGGTCGCCTTTGATCCACTCAATGATGTTGGACGTTTGCGTTGTTTCACTCAGCGACCAACGGAACGATAAGAGTCCGCCGACAGGTAGGAGAGGTTTGTTGTTCAGCACTGGCTATTCCTTGTCCTTCCCTTCTTCTCTTTGTCTTCGTCCTTCTTCGATCCGCTCCTTCACTCCCTCACTCCTTCCCTCCTATCAGCATGGAGAGCTAGGACGAATTGTTACTCAAATCCTTCCCAGGAAGTGGGTGGGGCAACTACTTTTTTAGGACACAAAAGTTTCTTACCTTTTGAATAGAGAACATCTAGTTCGGGGCGGCCGGGCCGGGGCCGGGCCGGAATCAGTGACTCGCCGAGTCTAATCGATTCTCTTCGATTCAAACCGAGTCCTTCGTTCACCGTCATGGGAAGGTAGGATGGTGCACGCGCGGTCTATCTACGACCGCAGATGCCTCGCATGCAGATCTTGACAGAGGAATCATGTTCGATGATGTCGATCACATGTCTTGCAGCAAAGTTTCTCTGTGAATCCACCCTCTCTGCTCTGTTTCCACATCTCATACTTTCTGTGAGTGAGGTTGCTAAACAGGTGGGACGAGGCTGGTGACGAGGAGGAGGATATTTCAACAAAACAGGGACAAGGACAGGAAGAAGTCAAGAAACGAGCAGCTCCTGTTGAAACATGCACTGCGTCTGACTTGTTCTCATGCTTCCAAGGCACTGCCAACGAGCGGAAACCTCCTCTTATTGTGGACGTAAGGCCGCACAAAGAGTTTCACAAGGGGAACGTGTGCGGTGCTTTCTGTGTCTCCATCGTGAACCGTGGGAACAGGAGGGTGCTGGAAGATTCCAGTCTCCGCCATGACTCAAACGACCACAAGGATCTTAAGAGGAAGCGAGAGCGAATCCTTGGGGTTCGAGGGTTATGGCAGCCGTCGTTGTGGATGGGGAGGGAACTTGTCCTCTACGGCTCAGCAGCTCTCACACCTGAGCATGAGGTTGTTAGATTCCTTCAGAGCGATGAGTTTACCCTTCCGCGCCTCATCCGACTTCTTGATGTTCCTTTCGATACCGTCCTGGAAAAGTACCCAGGACTTTGTACAACCTTTGGGAAACCACGAGAGCCAAGAAGGTATCCTGCTGAGGTGATACCAGGAGAACTGTACCTGGGGGACTGGGATCATGCAAAGGACGAGGTTGATGCCTCGCTGTTCTACTTGTTCTGCCAATGACGCTGGTGCCCCAGACCAGCCTGGACCATCTCAATGTTCGCTCAGTCATTACAATCCATCAACGGCCCAAAGACATCTCCTTCGGAAGCAAACGGCAGCATCTGCGGTTGCAGCAGGATGATGTGGACACGGACGGGATCCTGCAGGTGACAGAATGCTGCTGCTTGCGTGGAAGCTGACCCTCAACTTAATCGGCAGCACATCGACGCTTCTAATAATTTCATCGAACGAGCCATCTCGAAGAAGCATGCGACACTCGTGCATTGTGGAGCAGGAATCTCGAGGTGCACGCTTCCTCCTCAAGGGTTGGCGATGGGCGAGTGACAGAGGTCACCAGGAGCGCGTCGCTTTGTGTCGCCTACCTCATCCATCGCTTCAAGTGGCCTGCCTCTCGCGCGGTCGCGCATGTGGTGAGGTGCAGGAAGGTCGCTCGTCCCAACGAAGGTAACTCGTCGCGTCTTTGCTGTCGCTGAGGATCGGCAGGGTTTATGAAGGCCCTGCACGACTACCAGAAGAAGCTTGGCATCGCCGACGACAAGACTGCGGGTGACTCACCCCCATCTCTCGCTATCGAATGATCCCGAGGACGCAGATGAAGGAAAGGAAAAAGAGAATCCAGTGATTGTCGACGAGCAGAAAGACAAGAATGGGGACCAACATGTTGTAGAGGAAGCAGCAGATCCCGTCCCTTGCTTCGTCACTGTATACAAGGACGAAACAGTTGTAGATCGTGTTGAGCTGCCAGGAAACTCAAAATTGGTGATGCAAAATGGCACTTTCGTGTTGCCTGCGCATGTCATGCTGCTCAACAATCATCGTTTGACGCGTGTCTTGACTTTCCAGCATTTTGTGTCATGATGATGTTGGATCTTGTTCTTAGATATCGCCTTTCATTCTCCAACTCTTTTTCTAACATCAACCTATAGACCCTGGGTCGAAGCCTTGAAACGGATATCGTGATGGAGCATCCATCGGTCAGCAGACAGCATGCAATCTTACAGTCCGAGGGACAGGTTGCCTCCAGCTCTTCGCCTCCTCTCTTAACTTGCCTATAGAAAGTCTACATCCTCGACTTGGGATCGGCGCACGGCACCAAGGTCAACAGCAGAAACATCGAGGTACAAGGTCTTCTTCTCCTTCCCTGCTCAGTCGCTTTCGCTGTAGCCCGAGCGGAAGGTGGAAGTGAAGGATGGAGATGTGCTGGAGTTCGGTGCGAGCACGAGGAAGTATGTCATCTCTCGAGGGCAGAAGGAGAGCGTCGGGATGAAGCGAAGCTCGGAGACACAGAAATGTCCCCCGAATAAGAGGCAGAAGGAAATGGTGGGAGCATACCATATCCTTATAAAGCACAAAGGTGAATTTGGAGGCGTTGAGAAGACGGAGCAAGAGTGCTGAGGTTATTCGTGATGGTGACGATTGGGATGTTCTCAGATTCACGAAGGCCCTCGAGTTGGAGGGATGAGGAGGGCAAAGTGATCCGATCAAGAAGCAGGGACGAAGCCAGAAAGATTCTCTCGGATCTTCTCGCCGATATCTCCTCGTCTCGCAACACAATGCAGAGGTTTTACACTTTCTCCGCGCATCACATCTTTAACTTAACCACAATGATGCGATCCTTACGCTGAAGACTGAAATAATCGTTTTGATCACTTGCATCTTATCCTCATCCTCATCCTCTCTCTACACCTTCATCTGTACTGACTTTCACTTTAGGTTCAAGGAGCTTGCTTACAAACATTCTGACTGCTCCTCGGCCAAAGATCATGGTGACCTGGGAACGTTTGCGCGAGGGAAAATGCAGAAACCATTCGAGGAGGCTTCCTTCTCTCTCCAAGTTCGTGCGCGTTTCCTAGCTGACCGACGGCCTGACATGCTGGCAGGTGGGCGAGGTATCAGGGATAGTCGAGACTGACTCGGGCTGCCACATCATCCTCAGGAGCGAGTGACTCGCTCGTCTTTCTGCTAGTATCTCATAACTTAAATCTCTCAACCGCTATCACTGGTTGCTCCTCCTTCCTGATCAACGGTTCACTTTTCGGTAGTATCATCGTCATACCGACTTCAGCGCGGCCAGGCAGCCTGCCACTATCGCCGGACCGAGTCGGGACAAGGGCCCATGATCGGATTGCGGGCCGGGCCGTCACAACCATGGCCTTTCACGCTCGGCGGTCCATTGCACGGTGACTCTCAGTACCGTACTGAGCCTCCGAGTACCGTCACCGTGAGCCAGCCCAGTGTACCGTCGGATCATTCGGATCCTACTAGTAAGTCAAAATGACGGGCCAGGACCGTTCAATGATTGCAAGTTGCCCGCCCCTGGGTTGCCGCTCCTGGGGGGGCGGGCCGCGCCGGCAAGTTTCTGGCTCCAGGGGGCCGGGCCGCTCCGGGCCCGGGGCCCTTCAAGTCACTGAGCGTGACAGTGACTCACGGTTACTGGGCCACCCGTGAACAGGAGTCGGCTCAGTAGTAGATCGGAGCGGCGCCGCCGGGCGGGCGCTCCGAGGCTCAGCAGGCGTGAGACGGCCCGGGTCACCGTGCCGGACCCGGCCGTTCGGGGCCGAACTTGAACCGGCCGGAGGCCGAGTGAGCCCTAAAATTTGTTCGAGTGAGCCCTAAAATTTGAAATTTTGAAAATTTGAACTTGAAGTTTGACATTTGATCCCCAAGATGGCGGTCAGTTGAGCAGCCTGGCATGACGAGTCTGAGCGCAAGATTGATTGTGCAGCGATGGTGGGAGGGCGAGGAAAGAAGCGACGAGACTGATGCGCGAGAGAAGAGCAACACACGCCTGATGGCTGGCAAGGTAGTGGATCTGACGCATCACCAGTGCCTGTATGTTCCTTGCTCGCTCCTCGCTGCGCTCAGTAGCTTCTCAGGACCTTTGGAAGAGACTCGCGGTCGGACGTTGAGCTGGCATGGGAGGGAATCTCTCGAGCTCACGCCTGGATGGACCTGCATAGGCTCAGGGGCCGTGCGGATGAATGCCGATGGCAGATCATATGCAATGGCAGTCCTAACGGGTTATTTGTGAACAGACGGCGAGTCAGCAAGCAATCACTGACGCATGGAGATGTGATCGGGTTCGCTCATGGTCACAACACGAAGATGGGGGAAGAACTAGAAGCTGCGGCGTTTGTTTACGAGTTCTTGTTCGAAGAAATAAGCTCCAACGGGACAGCAGAATATCAGGTAAATGCTGCTAGATTACCTGTTCTGATTGTTTGAATTTTGATATGACATGTCAATTGAGTTTTGTTCTTTTTCTCTTACCCTTGATTGATTGCTCAAGGTCCCCATCACTGAAGCGATCAGACCATTGCAAAACTTAAACGAGAGCAAAGTGATGGGAGGAAACATGTCAATATCGCTGTCGGAAGAATTTGACGAGTTGGATCATCAAGTTTTGTTGCAACTGAGGGCGACCAACGTCAACGACTGTTGCTTCAAGCATGTGAACTTGATGGAGAAATTGTGGAAAAGGTGCAAGCGCAGCCAATATTTCTCTCTTGCTTTAACTCCCATGCTGGAAGTTGCCAGATCAAACAAGAAAAGTTGTCGAAAGAGAAACGCGAGCTTCAGGTACGGAGAAGGCTTGGAAGTTCGGCTTGATGTCCCTTCATGTGGAGCTGACACATTATCAGATGGAGTTGACAAGCTTACAAGACGCATTCACCAAACAAGTTATTCATGTGAGTGGGAAACGACCGACCGACCGACGGCCCGACCGAACGATGACAGCAGGTTGCAGAATACTCAACTAATTGAAGAGAACGAAGAACTCAGAGTTGCTGTGTGCAGTGCAAACAAAAACATCATCCTGTAACTCACTTCTTCGCTACATCCACAATGTCTGAAATCAAAGGCAGACTGGAAGAAAACTACAAGGCAAAGTTGCACAAGTTGCAAACAGAGACAACGTTGCTTGAAAAGGCTTTGGAGGAGGTAAGGAGAAGAAGAAATTGCGAAGAAATGTAAAAACATATTGCAAGTCACGAGAGGATGCGCATGAGCGATCTCAGATCTCCAGCAATCAAAGTAAGACATACAAACGTTTGCGTTATTTCTCGAACCTTCATACATCTATTTCCTCCCCCTCTCGCTCTCTCCCTCGCTCCCTCCTCCCCTCCCTCAAACTCATTCCTTCCTCCCTTTCTCCCCCACTTCCTTCCTGTCCCTCTCTCCTACACATTCGTTTTCTCTTTTTTCTCTCTTCTCCCTGTCTTGTTTTCGTTCCACAGCTGCGTCTGCATACTGACGTAGATCACTTTGAGTAGAAAAACTTTTCCAACAAACTATGGAGATGGCGAAGCAGCGAATGCAGGTAGAACATCGCCTTCCCTCTGCCTTTGGTGCTGTGCCCTCCCCTCCCCTCCCCTCCCCTCCCCTCCCCTCCCCTCTTCTACCCTTCCCTCCCCTCTTCTCCCCTCCCCTCTTCTCACGCTTCTTGCTCATCTCTTGTGCCTCATGTTGCTTCAGGCTGCTGTGGCTCAGCGAGACGAGGAGCTTGAGGCCTGCGAGAGAGCGATGATGGGAGAAAGGCATTTGAATGACAAGCTACGAGGTGACGGACATGTCGTTACTGCTGCTGCTGCTGCTGCTGCTGCTGCTGCTGCTGCTGCTGCTGCTGCTGCTGATGATGATGATGATGATGATTCCATTTTGCTATGTTGTCGTCATGGTTGACCACAATTGAAGACGAAGGGAAGATGCAAACAGAGCAAATGAAGTTGAAGAGTCTCAGTATATGGAGATGTTGAGTGAATGCTGATGTAGGTGAGATTGCTGCTTTGACTCAAACTCTTCAAGATCTGAAAAGACAGCTGAAAGGTTTGAGTTTTCTCAGTCGCTCCTCCCTCCCACCCCCCCCCCTATTATCATTCACTTGCACCTCCTCCCTCGCTTCCTCTTCCTCGTGCACTCCTCTCACTTATCTCTTGCCTCCTCCTGCTCTCTAGCCTCCTTCTTTCTATTCTCCTTCTCCCTTCTCCCAACCTTCTCCTCCTCCACCCTGCACTTTCCGATCAACTTCATCGCTTTCCTTGACTTCTTTTCTCAGTAGCTCAGTCCGGGTCACCTTTGCAAGACCATCTTGACTCTCCTGCTGATCATTTCTCACCACCCTCACCCAACAACCTCATTCCTATCCCCTGCAGTCCTCCAGCACACCGGGGTTCTCTGTATTACGAAAGTGACAAGAATGCACAATAATGACTTCTTGTTAAACAAGAGAAAATCTGTCAACAAAGAGTCGATGCAAGACTGGGATGATAGAAAAATACTACGAGTGTCAATGCATTCTATCACGAATTTGGCGATGTTAGATCAGAAGTTGAATTGCTTCTTGCGCCGAAGCTATCCTCCTTTCGACGTCCTTGATGAGAATTTCGTCGCAAAACTGTGCATCTCACGTCAGTGACACGGAAAGGATAAGGAAAGGAATGTGCAAAAGCAGAGCAGGCGAGAGGAGCAGGACGAGGAGTGCGAGGTCTCAGAATTAGATTCGAGGAAAACAAGAGATAGGGACAGGGAGAGGGATAGGACAAGAGGGACCGGGGAGTTCAAACAGCAGGAAGGACGGGAGATGATTTCACCTTCTTGAACTTGAGAGAAATTCTTCCTTGACTGGCAGCAACGATATCTCGGTGCGGCTGAAGAAGAACTAGATCAGAAAGCCAGCAATCACAGGGCAAGGCAAGGAAAGATACTAGAAAGTGCAGGACAGGACAGGACAGGACAGGTTATGCTCTAGCACCTGAGTGAGAATCTTGTCGGAGATTTCCTTGATGGAGTCTCCTTGTTTTCCAAAGGGAAATTGACCTGGTGGATCAGCAAGTGAGAAAGAAGAAGAGCAGGGAGACAAGTTGGGAAGGTGAGAAAGGTAGGGAGGGGGCAGTCGGAGCGAGCAAGTTGAAGTTAGGAGGAAATTGACTACTGTAAGAACGTGAAGAAGGAGATAGAGAGGGAGAGGACGGAAGGTCAAGAGGAGGAGAGGAGAGGAGGAAGTGACGACCTGTAGAGCAGTAGAACATGAGGACTGCGACTGACCAGATGTCGCAGGAGGAAGAGAGAAAGAGATCCTCCCGGATCTTGAGAGGAACCGTCAGGACAATAGGAGGAGAAAGAGGAGGAGGAGGAGTGCGGGCACAGGAAACGGTGAAGGGGCACAGAAACCGGAAGAAGCGCAGAAGATATGGAGCAGATGAGAAGAGAGAAAAGATGGTGGTGAGGATTTGTTGAGGTTTGCAGGAAGAGACTTGTTCCCACCTGCTCTGGCGCGAGGAAGAAAGCGTTGGCCTCGAGAAGGTTGCTGCAGGTACAAGAAATGAGGAGGAGGAAGAAGAGGAAGAGGAGGAGGAGAAAATGGATGAGGAATGATAAAGCACATGCAAAGAAAGCTGCAGGAAGAACAGAGGAGTAGAAGAAATCAGAGAGAGGGAGGAGAAGGGGAGGGAGGGGAGGGGGTAAGAAGAGACCTGTCAATGTTCCTGCTTCCTATCTTGATCGCTTGTCCAGCATCGATCAACTGCAACGTTGCTCACATCTCCCCTCTCCTCCAATTACGTTCTGTTCACTCCTCACCTTGACGCTCTTTGTTCTTCGATCATACATGATGTGTCTGGGTTGAATGTCGCGATGAATGAACTGTTGGCTCCTCAAGAACATTCCAACAAAACAATCTTTCCGTTTACATTCATCGCATGAATCGCTTCGAGAGCTTGAAGTGTACCTGCAGCCTGTTGAGAACATTGCAGTAATGATGATGATGATGATGATGACGACGACGACGACGATGACGATGATAATGCAGCAGCAGCAGCAGCAGCTGCTGCTGCTTGATGATGATGATGATGATGATGATGATGATGATGATGATGATGATGATGATGATGATGATGATGATGATGATGATGATGATGATGATGATAATTATGATGATAATGATGATAATGATGATGATGATGACATTCACGATGTCGCTTTTGATTATCTTGTCAACATTAATTTTACCTTTCACGACCAGGGCTACAACTTCTGGTTGCATCACTTCATATTCTTGTATAAAAGAATCAACTTTCCTGCAAGAAGATAAGAAATTCTTCAAAATCATTTGATCCCCCTTGCTCTCCTTCCCTCTACCTCCCCTCACTTTTCTCAAGCTCTTCCTTATCGCCATTCCCCTCTCCGCCTCCTTCCATGCTTACAAGCCGTACGCGTACGAGTTCCAAGTCCAAACCCGACCATCCTCCTCCCTCCCTCGGTTCCTCGACTGCTGAGAAGGTTATGAACTGAAGCACGAGGAGACGAAAATTCCTGAATGATGTTGGGATGTAGAACGTGCGAGAGCAGTTCGACCTTGATGTCGCTCAGAGGAGGAGGAGGAAGAGGGAGAGTGAAGGGGGAGGAGAAGAGGTTGATGCACGATCAGGAGGAACGGGGCGGGCAGAAAAGTATAGCACCTCCCGCATCATTCTGCGTTTCATCCTTGAATCGGCTGAAAGAAAGTGAGCGCAAACACACGTGAAGAAGAAATGTTCTTACCTGATGCTTGCAAGACTTTGAGGACAACAACCTAACAACATGGATCATTTTTGAGAAAGCAAGATTTCCTTCTGACCTCTTCATAGCGTCCTGTCTGGGTCTGACAGCGCAAGGTCATTAGAAAGAAAAGCATACTCTCAATATCAAGTACCACAGCGACCGTAGAGGTCTTGTCGTCCGTTTTCATCAGGACTGTTTGCAGAGAAACTCCTTGACTGCACGCTTTGATCGGCCAGCTGAACGCAAGAGATTACAAGGAACAACAAACAGAAAGAAATCTTTATAACACACTTTGATAAATCTGATGATAGAGGAGCCCCTGGGTAAAGCTGTCAATTGTAAACAAACACAAGCATGCAGTCATAACATACCCTGCTGCTCTTTCTCAACATCGAAAGGATCATGAGGAATACTTTCTTCATCTTCTAGCAGCTCTCCAACTTCCGCATGCACATTCCCTGCATTCTCTGGTTCTCTTCCAACCATCTGCTGCCCTCCTGCTTGCTGAGAACTCGCCTTGTTGACAGTCAGTCACCCAGGAAACTTCAAGTTTTCGATTCACATGGCTCAGCGGAACAAAATGACTTGCTAGTTCTCCAGCGCTCTTTACTTCTATGTTCTTCATCTGTAAACAGTCACTTTCTTCTTGATCGTCATCATGTAACGTACGGGCTCGCGCGGCACTGTCAGACTGGTTTGTTGGTTGTCTCCTGCTCCTGCTCCTGCTCCTGCTCCTGCTCCTGCTCCTGCTCCTGCACCTGCACCTGCACCTGCACCTGCACCTGCACCTGCACCTGCACCTGCTTCTGCTGCTTCTGCTGCTCCTGCTCCTGCTCCTGCTCCTGCTCCTGCTCCTCGTCCCCCAACCGTTGATACCGATGGCTTCACGCTCACTGACTTGAAGAGATTGCTGCTCCCAAACAGCCGGTAGAATCCTCCTGCTCCTGCTCCTGCTCCTGCTCCTGCTCCTGCTCCTGCTCCTGCTCCTGCTCCTGCTCCTGCTCCTGCGCCTGCGCCTGCGCCTGCGCCTGCTCCTGCTCCTGCTTCTGCTCCTTTACCTGCACCTGCACCTGCACCTGCCCCTGCCCCTGCCCCTGCCCCTGCCCCTGCCCCTGCCCCTGCCCCTGCTTCTGCTCCTGCCCCTGCCCCTGCCCCTGCCCCTGCCCCTGCTTCTGATCCTGCCCCTGCTCCTGCTCCTGCTCCTGCTCCTGCTCTTTCTGTCGACGTCGTCGGCTGAATGCTTACGGACTTGGACAGCGTGCTGCTGCTGAGCTGCTGAGAATGTGCAACAGCTCTTAAACCATTCGCCGCAGAAACTCAGCGCCGGCCGGAGCTGCTTTCACCGTAGGAAACTGGCCGTTGACCATTGCTGCTGGAACATGTTGCATCGGAGTGAAAGGAGTCTGAGGTGTAGCAGGAGGTAACGACGAGCTGCTGTAAAAGATGTGTGAGCTGACATGTCCTCTGCCTGCAAATTCCTCCTCCTGCTTGTAAGCAAAATTGACGATTCGGGTTGGAACCAATGGCTCCTGAGATTTCCAAGTCACGATCATTGTATCATTGGCAAGCTAGCGATGACCTGGTAGCCTGCTCGACAAACAGTATTATATCATACGTCACAAAACGTAAGTCAGAAGCCCCAGCTCCGACCAGGAAGCAAGAGAACATCTTCAACATGGAGCAAAAGGTCAAGGACTCACCATCGTATCCTCGCTGACTGAATCTTGCATTGTTGTAGTTCTGTACCTAATCCGTCACGTACAACATACACACGAATCATGCTATGAGGACAAATTGTGTTGGTTTGACCCCACCTCAATCAGTTGAGTCAGACTCTGATTGGTAAGCTGCAAGCCATGTTTGATGGACTGACAGGAATCGATTTCATTAACATCGATCAATGAAGTCATTTACCTTCTCCGCGTCTGTGAAGTAGCTCTGCAAAACAATGCAGTCATGTCGTTGAAAACCCCTCAGCCAGCAATCATGCCTTGATGAGCGTAAGTTTGACTTCCGTGTTCGGCTCTCCAAGGATGAGTCTTGAAACATCCTATCACAAATGTTGAATTCTTGCTCAGAATTCATAACCTGCTCAAAATTCCTTACGTGTAGTTTCTTATCCACTAGTCTGATGTCATTGACTGCAACAAGTTGCATCCCTGGAAAGATTCTCCCACAGTTTGCTGCCGATCCCTGGCAATCATTGAATCAAGTCGGAAGGCGACTAGAGAACAAGTCACATTCGGCAGAACGGATGTGATCAAGAATTGGCCCTTCACTACAAGTCAACTTTCAGGTTGATGATACAATTTCTACCAGGGCAATCATTTGAATTTCTAGTCCAACTCCAACTCGTGCTGATGCCGAATCTGCTCAATAAGTTAATAACAACCTTGCCCTAGAATATCCTCTGGACAACCGTTGTTTCTCTTCAATGTCACAACAATATGATTCTTGATCTGAAGCGTATGAATCGACGTCTTAGTTCAAAGATAGATCCCAAACAGCCCTTGCTCACGCTTGTCAAGTCTCCAGGCAGTGGCATCAGCAACGCGTCTTTGTGAAACGCTGAGATGGTCGAAGACACTATCAAGTTCTCCAGCCGCTCGTTCTGTCGCAAAAAAGTCTGTCATCCTCCCTTCTCCCTTCTCCCTCTCCCGGCTTCTCTTCTCGGTCACTCCCTCCTCCCTCGGGACCTCCTCCCTCCGACTTCTCCGACTCCTCGTTACCTGCGCTTGCTTTTGAGTCACCGCAGCTTGACGGCGCTGCGGCTCCATTGCGACTCTGACCTTGCCAGTAGTGACTCCCGGATACGGTCAAACTTTTTTCCGAGCCTGAGGCTCAGTCCGGCGGCGATCACCGCCGGATCATCGGATCGGATCGCAGTCCGATCCGGCGGCCCACTGCCACTGAGGTACCGTACGCTAGCATACAGTCTATCTCTCATGTGCTCCTCAAATCTGGTTTTGTGTGCATTAAACTCGGTCTTGAGCAAAAACTGTCTTGTTGCAACTAAGGTCGATGAATGTGACAGTCGGATATCTGCGTGACTTTGGACTAGTACCGTACCGGGCGGCGGCCGCCGCTCAGCGGGCCGCCGCTCCGAGTTTCAAGCCAAGTTTGCCGAGCTCGGAGCCCGGCCTGACTCTCACTGATCAGTTTGCGGCAGCCGCAGTGTCGGATGGCGGACTCGGCGGCGGCGGCCGAGGGTGAGTCGGCCCGGGAGAACCCCCCGGGCCGTACGGTCGCTGGCCAGTGTCCGACCGGGCCGCCGGGCCTGGGGGCCTGGGGGCCGGCAGTGGCCCGGGCTTGACAGACTTCCGGTTCGGACAGTCCGACTGTCACAGTGTGGCACTGGCAAGTGAGACCTGAGCCTCAGGGACAGTCCGATCACAAGTGACCTGAGCCTCAAGTGTTTGAACTTAACTTTGAGCCTTACGGTGACTGAGTGATAGTGCGGCCCCCGTACACTGATCATCGGATGCCACACTGCCGGGCGGCCAGGCTGAGTGGACTCCGGCGACATTTAACCGTGATGCTATGTACGGTCACTTCAATACTGACCGTGAGACTGAGGAAAATTCATCACTGCTGGGAGCTCTTGCGTACTGAGTATGTTCAAGGTATGCAGTCAGATGTCGATCCGGATCTCAGAGTCGCTATGTGAACATCACTGGCTTAATCATTGAATGATGCAGCGTCACTGCCTCATTTCAATGAGGTTCATCAGCACAGGATGGAGTGGGATCTTGATTTATTGTAGGTTTACATGCTTAGCTTAAACTCTCTAACTGAGTGTATAGCTATGAGAGATATCTGTTCGACTCTTGAATGATCTCTCCAAGCACTTGCTGATTGGAAGGAGAGTCGTTGGTTGCCTTTCTCTTCTTTCGAAGGCAGTATTTACTTTTGGCTGTTTGGATGGAATTCAACAATCTCTCTCCATTGTAGTTGAAGTAATACTGTCCTAATTGCGGATTCAAGGACTGTTGTTTGCTTTCCATGCTTGGCATTGATTCAACATATGCTTGTTGTGAAATACTCAATCTGAACATCTTTTTGACGTTCTTTCTTTGAAACGATTGAAAGACAAAAGAACATTCTGTGCAAGACATGGCAAGAATGTGTGAAGTAGAGTTTCCACAACCTCCTATGAATGAATAAGAGCTCGAAATCTGCAATCTGCACCGATACCGTAATATCCAAAATGGCCGTGTGAAGTTTCCTTTCCGAGGTAGGATATGATGAAAGGGAAAGCAGAAATGAAACAAATGACAGGGAGAGGGTAGAGGCAAGAGGAGGGAGAGGAAGACCAAGGATTCTTATCTCATCTCTAGTGATATGCAGAAGGTATCTTCGAGACAAGTGAAGGAGTTTAATTAAAATGGAAGGAGTATCCTGGGTTGAGAAATCCAAGGGGTTCTGGTCATGCGGACCGAAAGATCTCGTCACGTCTAGCTAGACAGACGGTGGAGCTTCAAGGCGAGATCAGGTTTTGCTGCGTCAGCGTGTCATCAGTCCCATGTGACCGTTTTATACTGGGACCACCCCTGTCTTGATTCACATCGGAAAGTACCCCGTTCCGATGAGACCGTGAGACCATATTTACTACAAGAAGATTCCAAGCAACGTTCGTCAGTCACGGATTTCGGTGAAGAAGTCACGAGGGATTTTTACAGGAATCTCAGGATTCCTCCAAAAAGCACACCTGCAGTGCTTGGGTGATGTATTCCTTTTGAAGTGCTCAAGCAAAACCGGGGTATGCCACAACGCTCGCTCCAGAAAGAGTTGGAACATTTCAGACAGGCGGCGAGATCCTAACCGTTTGGGTTTTGGATACATATCCTTGAAGAAGTACAGAAATCGAAAACGAAATTAAAACGTTCTGATAACCTGCCCGAGGTCTTGATGACATCTCGGCCAGATCTCGGGGTGAGGAACAAATCGATGTGGGGCATAGCCCATAGCGATTCTCTTATATCCTCCCTAGGTCCCCTCTACACCCTGCGACCTCTCTGATTTCGGCTAAAACACTATTTTAAGAGCTTCCATGACTGGCCAAGAAGTCAGCGGATGACATCGTAGAACCCATCATGTCAGCAAGTTCCTGGTAGTAATTTACATGATTACCGAGTCACGCGGAGCACCCTACAAAACCCTCGTCGAGTGCCGCCCTCCAGCACTAGCAAGGATCTGCCATGCATTACACGGACTGTACCGAATCGATCAATACACCATCAAGCAGGAAGATTGTCATCCATGAGATCAGCCTCACACGAAGAAGAAAATGTTTCAGACTGAACGAGGCACAGCAAGCGTTTGTTGACAACATGGAAAAACCCGATGTGCAGCCAAGTAATGAAAAATGTGTAGCAATTCGCGTCAAGAGCGATGGAAAAGAATTGATGGACGAGATTCGTTCTGCGAGATTGCGCCAATCCAAGAAATGTAAATCAGTTGTAAATAGTAGCCATATTGAAAATTCAACTCATGTTCGAACAATACTGTAAATAAATAAGATATCCGTGATTCGTTGTGTACTTCTCCTCGATACATTGCAAGCAAAAGAAAATGGGAAGATTAAATCCAATCTTTGTAACGAAATGGCATGATCTTCAGATTGAATCGATTGGCATTTGTAGAAGCAAAATCATTTACAAATAAACATACAATGCGATACAGTCCTTTTTAGTATGAGATTTTTCAGAGAAATAGGCTAGAAATCGATGGTAAGCTTGCCTTCGATGTCTGAATTCATAACCACCTGCCGCAATGTAAACCGCTAACCCAATGCGCTCCTGGGAGCAACCTTAGAAAAGTCTTCGAACAAAATGAAACCATCTTCATCAGTATCAGCTTCTTGAAACACCTTTGACAGCTTTAAGTTGGTTACTTTGCATTGATTGCAAAATACCTGATTCAAAACCTCTTCAAGGAAATCTTCATCGTTTGACATGGTGATGAGCTGAAGGGTTTCTCTAAGATCTTCTTTAGAAATCTTCAGACAAGATATCCATGTCAGCATAGAAAATTGGCTTAGTCTTGCAAAGCTACGCCTTATCCCTACATAAACTGCGCTATCCACGAATCACATAGTTTACCTTTCCATCACCATCAACATCATATATTTTGAAGGCATATCTACAGAAAAGAGCATGTCAATTTTTGAACTTTCAGGACTGAGCAAACCTCAGTTTTTGTTCGCGAGTGGCTCTTATACTAAACACACTCCTGCTTATTTGTCATCGTAAAATCGTGGATGAAGCTGAGTGCTCACATCAGTTGCGCAAATTCTTGGATGCTCAGAGAGGTGTTGTCGCCATCATCTTCTTTGCCCAGCGAGACTTTTGTTATCCTTTTCTACAGTTTCAGCCAGCTGAACAATGGAACACAGAGCTCCACCGGTGTATGAAGGGGTTAGCTCTGAATTCTTTCATCTGAAAAAGCTCCTGGGTACCCTGTAACAATCAGAAATTAGATTCATTGAGAAACAGAAAACTACGTACAACAGTTCCGCTCTTATCAGCATCAAGCTGATTGAATATTCGTATTAATCTGTTTAACGGCAAAGTGAGATGTAAGCAATTCAGTTTCGGAACAAAGAGTGCAAGAGCATATCTGGCATCACCAACCTGTTAAGCTCTTTGTCCGAAAAGTTGGAGATCATCTTTAGTTCTTCAATCTATTCATGCAAGGGTTCATTCGAAGTGAGAAGTATAAGCCGGAAGTATGTCACGTGCAATACTCATATCCTGTCATCTGGGGTTTCGAGTCCTCTTGTCTGAGGTAGAATTTTTCTAACCCCCCATTGAGGATTTTTCAGGCACTTGCTGTTGGAGTGGTCCTCCCCTATCCTGTCTGGTTTATGCAAACTCGTCTTCTACATATCTAAATTGTAATCGTTTCCTCTATTCTTAGGTTATGGGGACATATCGTGATGTATTGATTTGACACATCCCCTGCATCCCATTGCAAGTTCGATTAAATCACCTTTCCTTCCATCAATCATGACATGCCTCCCATTTACTGTTTTAGTGTTGTTACCCATAACATTATCCTGAAGCAGCCTCCTCTACCTGCCTCTGCCCCCCTACATCTCTGCCCTCCCGCCCGTCTATCTTTCACTGTTCGCCCATCCCTTCTTCAAGCACAGAAAGGTTTTTGGTTGTCGTGGCTTACCTTTTCCAAATCTTCTTTATCCAAGGTTTCACTTGTTGATATCTTATTGCCCATGGCTACTCCGACTTTCAATCGAAGGCTGAGCCCAAGACCACTTGCCTCTTACTTCCTGCTCCCCCTCTATGCTCTTGTTTGTGCTCTTGTTGCCTGCTCTTGCTCCGTCTCCACTGCCAGAGCGGCTTATGTGCAACAGAACATCCGCCTCAGATTGTCTTTTCCTTTGATCCCAGGGACAGCAAAAAACATCTTTTCACTTTCTTAGAAGCATTATTCAAGTTCGCCTCAGTGAAATCACTAGAGGAATTCGCAAGACAGAAAATATAATCTACTCTTCCGAAAACCAATGGCAGTAGGCTTCACAGATTGAGTAAAAGTCTTACAAGGGCAGCACACCCTTGACTTAATTGTCAGATGGCTTTGATTTGCTGCCTCTGGTCCACACATCCCTCTCAACCGACTTGTACCCTACCCAGCTCCCGCTACTACCCTCACCACCCTCCCCACGAATCTAGATACCCTACCCTTTCGATCGTCATACGACTCCAAGAGGCTCTAGACAACTACCCCTTTGATTATATAGAAAATAGACCCGTCTGTCCGAGTGACCCACCCCCATTCCAGATTTGCAATTTCAAGAAATCATCGATGGACCCTACCCCTTCTCTCCCCTAATGGTACCCGAATGTCCCCCAGCTCCCAAAACGGCACAAATTTACGGGAAAACACCCCTACCCCTGAAAAGCAGACCCGGTACCCACCATAGGAAACAGAGATCATTTCGTACCCCACCACCCCCTATTTCATGTTCGTTAACTACTGAGTACCCTACCCTCATTACTGGGGTACTCCAAAGCATCTCAGCACCATTTGACAGTCCGAGAGGTAGCTACTACCCACCTTTCTCCCTGGAAATGAACGATATCCTACCCGTACTTTTGTCCTCGATGACCCCCTCGCAATGAACGGTCAATATAGTCTCTGACCTCTTACATGACCCCTACACCCTTTCCGACCAGTATGCACTTTACCCCTACCAATTCATCACTTTTGTTACCACCCAACCCCTAGAATATACACCCCACCGGAGCCTAGCAATGTATCTCAGATTGTACCCTACCCCTACCCTATGAAAGCTTCAAATTTCATCTCGACCCCAATCCTTTCAAACAGGACCCCTTATTTCACAGGAAATGTACCGGATATTGGTATAGAACCCAACTTTTCTACCCCACCCAACCCCACCATCATGAAACTGAAATACCACTACCCCCGAATCCCCGCCCACAACATGGACCCCACCCTTTTCAATGAATTTCACCCCACCAATGTCGTAAATTTCTCGACATAGCTGATACGACCCTACCCCCTCTTCTCAATCCAGTTACCTCTGACCACCCCAACTCTCCACCCACCCCCTTTGTGTGGCGCACGCCCTCCACTTCCATTCCGCGCGCCATTGCAGCATCTTCCGTCTCCTGCTCTTTAGCTTTTTGGCCCACCTTCCCTCCGCATCTTCCTTTCGTTCCCTTCCTTCATCCTCTTGCATCCACGTATCTTCACATCTTCTCTGTTATCAAGGAGATCAACCCTTCTTAACTGGCTCGACTCTTTCACTTGTTTGCTCCAGGGGCTGCTGTGAACGCGTTTGACGGCGGTGGATACCTCGGGTTATTCATCCACGACTCGGATCGATAGGCAGTTGTAACCTGTGCAATTGTGGTTCAACATGTCACTCTGATACTTTAGACGAGGAATCTGCAGAAAACTTGTGAATCAAATCAAAGCGGAGTTGTTGATTTTTCGGTTGGTTTGAACTTAAAACATGGCATCGTCTGCGTTAGTCTGCGACATTACACCTGTGGAGGGTGTCAATATTACGATCAAGACCGACAATGCCTCCAAGGATTTTGAAATTGAATGGAGAGACTCCCGATGCTTGCCCTCTTCGTCAGATGCCGATGTCAGCAGGAATGCTACGCCAAGGGCTTTCAATGAAAACAGCAGGAACATGATGGGCCTTGTCTCGCTCCTCCAGAAGATCGTTTTTGGTGAATTGGTTGATGAAAAACTCGGGAGTGGCTGCAAACAGGCAAGGAATCGGTACTCATCGAGAGAAACTGGGACAACATACATCCACCTGCAACATCGCACCTCGCGGCACCTTGTACAAAAGATTGAGGTCTGCACTGACAATGCTGGAGATCTCGTTAAAGCATGTTTGCTCAATGATACGGTGAAATGAATTGTACTGCCAGATCGAGACTGATATGTGCTTCAGAGAGAGCCGACCGTGTTGAAGTCTCCTTTGGCGATTTTAAAGCAACTCGGCAAGATGTGTTCTAGTGAGGAGGGATGGACTCTTATCCGCCCAGTCGTCTGGTAATTTCACATAGATGTCTTAAGATCGTGGAGTTGGACTTACATCTGTGCTTTGTCAGGGCTGATCTCCCTTCTGAACTTTGGTGGCATGTCCTGAAGAACATGACTGCCAAGGAAGGTTCTGCTATGGCGTGTACATTTTCCACAATCCCGAACATCATTCGCAATCCAAACTTCGTTTGGCTTCCTTCAGAACTTCATCTTGTTCTGCTCACTGCTCAGGAAGCAGTAAGATGCGATCCAAGCACGCATCTACCGCTCAACCTGCAGCAAGGGGAGGTAGGATTGTCAAGAAACCATGCGACATGAGTTGACTTGTTGTTGTACGCGTAGTTTAAGATTGGAAGATCGCGCACAAATGACGTGGTTCTTCTTCGTGACCCTGAAGTGAGCAAAAGGCACTGCAAGATTTGGCGCGATGCACGTGGAGATGTGTATATCCAGGTAAATACGACGGCACAGGTTTGTTTGTTCGTGATGGGTGTTGTAGGATCTTGCCTCGACAAACGGCACAAAGCTGAATGGAGACTGGCTTCGACCTGTTGGAGAGGGCAACGATCGAGCCCCATCCGCCCCGAGAAAGGTTTGACTGGAAACCCTTCACTCGCCTTTACAGCGATTGATCCGAATGCGCAGATGGTTGTCGGCGACCAGGTGACCCTCGGGCTCACGACATTGCAGCTCGAGGACGGTCCTTGCCCTCCACACTCAGCTGCGACCAGTCCATCAGTGGTGCGACCAGAAGGTAGTGCCACAAGTCCGTCATCATGACGAAACAAATCAAGGCACAGAGACAAAAACGCAAAACCAAGTTCTCTATTCACCAACAATCTCTATCTTCTTTTTGATTTTGTCCATTTTCGTCAAGGGCGTCTCTCTTTCGAAGATCCCTTACAAGTTACTTGTAGATTTAATTGAAACTCACAAACCGATTTTGCAGACTCTTACTTTGTCTATTCGTGCTCGTTTTAATGCTGCGACAGCAGGCTGGGTGATAATCTGCTGCCTGTAGTCAGAGATTCATCTGGTAGCATGTTCCATTTACCTCGCCAGGAAAGAGGATGGGAATCCCTGGAGGATACCTGCCTCCGCATCAGCCGGAGTTTGACGAGAAGCAACGTACGTCACAAGGGTCTCCGCACTCGTTCGCCCGGCGCTGTTATCAACCGAGATCTGAGTGATGCTTCAGACGAGCCAACGCAGCGGAAAACAAGAATGTAACCTCCTCAACAGCTGCGAAGTATACTTCCCGCGGGGTAAGGGAGGGTTTGGTAGACATTGCTGGGGTGACCGGTATGAAGCTTCCCTCGACCCCTACCTCTTCCTCCTCCGCCACCATCCCCGCTCTCTCCTCTCGTTCTCTGTGGCTAGAACTGGCCTGTTGGTCCAGCACACGGAGGCCTGTCATGCGAGTCAAAGTAGTCAACATCCTCCTGATTGTCACCTCGTACAAGCTTGGCACAGTCTTGTGCAGTTGAAGCAATTCCGAGAGCTGCGGTGAGGAGACGACCCTCCGATATCTCGACGTACACTCCATGCCTGCCTCCTCCTCAGCAGCTTCAGCAACCCTCGTTTGTCTCACACCTGCTCTCAAGAAGCTCCGCCGCGTCCTCCGCGGAGAGTCCGTGAGGAGTGAGAAGGGTGAGACGCAGAGGGTCCAGTGCGATACAAGTCTGAATGCGGTGCTCCTGCTCTAGCAGCTTGAAGTGTTTGAGTCGCCCTTGAACGATGTCATTGTAAGACGGTAGAGGTGCAAATCTCACTTATAGCCCTCCTTGTCCTGTTAGACAATTGGGAGACAGCAGTAAGTTTCTCTCTACCTCCTCCTCCCTCACTTCCAAACTGCCATCTTTACAATGTCTCACTAGTGAGATGGAAACCAACAAAACACCTTGTAGCATCAAGAGAAGCTAGAAGTCTGCAAACATTGTCAGATGCTCTTCACAATCACTATCACCAACAACAAGGACATCTCTATCACCACCATCATCAACAACTAATAGAAATAGCAAAAGCAAAAGCAAAAGCAAAAGCAAAAGCAAAAGCAAAAGCAAAAGCAAAAGCAAAAGCAAAAGCAAAAGCAAAAGCAAAAGCAAAAGCAAAAGCAAAAGCAAAAGCAATAGTAAAAGCAAAAGCAAAAGCAATAGTAAAAGCAAAAGCAAAAGCAATAATAAAAGCAGCAGCAGCAGCATCGTTATTACACTCATGCCGATTAAAGAGTTTTTTATCTCATTCACTGGCAAGGATGCACATCTCACAGTGATGAGGGACTTGAGCTCTGTAGCATGTCCAGGGCAACAGCAATAGCTCGAGTGAGATCCTCCCTATCCCCGCTCCTTCCCTCCGCCCCTCCGACATGAAGAAGAGATGATTGTGTAAGTGACGTGAGAGTCTGTTGCTAGTCAGTGCGGGTTTCCTCCTCCTCCTCCTCCTCCTCCTCCTCCTCCTCCTCCTCCTCCTCCTCCTCCTCCTCCTCCTCCTCCTCCTCCTCACCTTGTGAATGCTCTGAACAACCAAATCAGCACCTGAGGATAGGCCGTCGCAAGGAGGAAGATGACCTGCGTCGGCGAGGAAACCTGCAGGAAATATGAAGATCGGTGAGATCACAGGACAAAACACGAGTCGCAAGGCTTATCCTCCACGAGGGGCAAGGGGTTCATGTGGAGAAAGAGCGGCAGGATCGTAGGAGGAAACAAGACAAAAACGCTAGGAGATCAGATGGATAAGTGAGAGAGAGGAAATGGATACAGATGAAGAAGCTTAAGGAGACTTACGGAGATGCGATCCGTGGGCTTCATCCACGATAAGTGGGATCCAGCATTCCTCTGCGGTCAAAGTGGGAGGACGAAATGGAGTTGATACGATAGCTGCCCACCTTGACGAAGTCTTTGCTGAACTGCTCTAACATCCAGGATCGATCCATAGTATGTCGGCGACAACTGATAACGATGAGGAAAACTTCTCCTGCCCCGAGAGCAGCATGTACCATCAGGACTGCTGCAACGTTCCCTTCATTTGCTGCCAAGGCCTCTTCAAGATCCTGTTTGTAGGCTCATCATCATCGTCTTATTGGTGCATGAGATTTTCTTTCCTCCATGTTGAAGCCATGATGAACGTCGAAGGTTGTGTCGAGCTCGGGGTTGAGGAACACTGACCATCTTCGTGAGTGTGCAGTTGACAAACCCATCACAGATACAATGCATGCATGCGAGTCAGCGTCCACACCTGGTTGAGCTCCCGAGATGATCAAAGCTTGAATCGAAGATTTGTGACAATTTCTGTTCCTCCCATGATTGCAACGTCTCGACAAAAGAAAACATTGACCTGGGCAAGATGACAACCGGCGGTCTAGTCGACAGGTCAGGAAACTGTCAGTGTACCAGATAACGCTTAAAGCCTAGTGAACCTTTCCGACATCGTTCGTCTTGACCGTTTGAAAAGCTGTAAGAAACTCGTCAGAAAATAGACACGAGCAGGGGAACGCTCTTGCCTGCATGCTCGCGAACACCGAGGCAAGAATCCCTACCGTGCTGCCGTTGCACAGGAAGAAAGTCGACCTCGCTCCTGCATCATCGGATCACACGACATGGCGAGATCGATCAGGGAAAGAGGGGGAGGAGGGGTTGATGCTGTCACCGAAGAGTGAAGAGGCCAGATCTTGTGCATGCTTGATCGGACCTTCGGGAAAGCTTGCCACGTGAAAGCGCATGAGCAGAGAGCGAGAGTCAGAGCAGGGTCGACGTGCAAGACCTCAGGCAGTCGATGTCTTCGATGTCCTCTGGAAGGTCATACTTGAGAATTTCTGTCTGTTGAGGAGCGATCAGAAACCATCAGGATCGTGCTCAGAAGCATCACCGATTTGCCGCACATGACGTTGTGGTCCAACACTGATGGAGTTCCTCTGCCGGCAAACATCAGCAAGAACGTTGCGAGTACGATACCACCATCTACCTGCCCAGCTGATGCCCAGGGAAGAAGAAGGAAGTCTTGACTTTGCGGCTTGCTCGCTGGTTGCTATCTTGTGACTGAACCTGAAGATTCCAGGTAGAGTGGTTACCAACAGCGCCTCGATGAACGGAGTGTCATTCTGGTTGAGGTGTTGTGCGCGGAGGTTTGCTATCCAACAGTGAGGAGGAGTGTTCAGACGAGATGAGAAGACACCTGCTCTTGTCCGGATGGAAGGGATCGTATGGAACGATAAGACTTGCTAGAGGTTCACTGAGAAAATCCGAACTCAAGGGTGTACAAGGAACCTCGAGATGAAGGGCAACAAGGAGTGAAGCAGCAGGAACAAGATGTCTCATGGCTGTAGATGTATGTACACGCTGTCTCTGTTAGTTCTGACGATCTGCGATGGAAGCATTTCCTTGTATCCCTCGATAGCCGCAAGGGCGCATTTCTCTGAGTCTCGTACTGATTTTTAACTTAACTTTGAGTAAAGGCATTTCTCCAGTAAGTCCGGGTCATCGGGGAGTGGCCGGCGGGCCGGGCCGGAAGTTGACAGGTCACTGAACTCAGCGGAACACGCTTTACTCAAAGTTAAGTTAAATATCAGTACGAGGACCAGCACGCCTGGTCACGTGGCTCGATATCAAGTAAGATATCAGCGCCTGACATATCTTAACCATCAGTAGGTACTAAAGTTTACTCAACATGCGCAGAAATCATTGAAGATTTTGAAATATAGGATATTGTAATTTCAAATTTGAGCGCAGGCAATTCAATGGAGGTCTAACGAACCAAAGTGGTTCGTGAAAAAAGAGCTTGGTCATTGCCCCACGGGCAAGGACGGCATAGGAGGTCAGAGCAACGAAGACGAGCAGAGCCATGGCGGCTTGAAGGTTCAGATAACACAAGAAGATGCTCCTGTCGCGACCTCCTGCAAAACACTGGCTCTCTGTTGTTGTGTTGGCGCTGTCGGGCTTCATACACGTTCTAGGAGATCGATGTACCGACGTCCCAACGTCAAGATGCTGCCCGAATGGCATCAAACATCTCGAGAGCAAGAACACGACCATCCCCATGCATCCTGTCGACAGAGAGGCTCTGGTGAATTTCCGACGTGCCATTGGGAAGCATGACGGGCTGCTCAACAACTGGTATATTGACGATCCGAGCTCGCATCCGTGTGACTGGTCAGGAGTGATCTGTGACTGCTGTGCGCTGTATCCAGCGGATGGGTTGGACTTCTGCGACGGCATCGACACCACCTACCAGCATGTTTACCACCTTGACTTCGGCCCTTCCAAGCCTTCGAACAAACGCCTCAATGGCTATCTGTCGCCCTATCTTGGGAATCTGACGGAGCTGAGGCTGGCGTATCTTCATGTGAATGAGTTCTCTGGAGAGATTCCCCGAGAGATGGCGAGGCTGCAGAAGCTGCAGAGACTTCTACTGCGAGACAACCAGCTGACGGGTCCTCTGCCGGCCGAGCTGGGCTCCATGCTCGCGCTGAAGGACCTGTACTTTGATGTCAACAAGTTTGAAGGGGCGATACCGCTGGAATGGTGCAACCTGATAAAGTCTGTCAATAGCAACAAGCTCATCGACATCAATGTTGTTCATCCGGCGAACAACCCAAGTCTCTGCGGCCCTGTGCCCGAGTGTCTTGTGAAGCAGGGAAAGCTGCGTACCGCGCATGTGGTAGGAACGTTTCTACAGGTCGACGACTCGGTGGACAACCCCGGGAGGGTACAGGGAGTGTGCGACCTGACCCCGGCAGTGTGCAGGGCGGAGGAGGGGTGCGGCATCAGGTCGGAGACGGTGATCGCGTCGCTGCAGGAGTTCTCGTTCGAGTTCCCGGAGTTCTCGGACCCGGACAGCGGGATGCGGTCCTACTACTGGGGGATAGACATGTGCGACGACGAGACCTCCTGCCACGATCGAGACGACGCCATGGCCTTCACTGCCTTGACGGCCTTCTCGTACAAGACCTCGGACGGGCTGACCATGTACCGGCAGCAGTACAAGGCCAACGGGCTCGCGCTGATCAACGGAGGGTGGTACAAGATCTTGCTGAAGGGATACAACGGGGCTGGGCCTCCTCTGTCGACGACGATATCGTCCAGGCCGTTCCTGGTGGACTCGACGCCTCCGCTGCCGTCTACTATCTATGACTCGCAGTTCTGCAAGGAGGAGGATACTGCACGAGTAGACGAGGTGCTGGAGGCGTGCTGGTCAGACTTCGTGGAGGCTGAGTCAAGCGTAGTGCGGTATGAGTATCGCGTGCACAAGCGCAGGAGAGACGGAGAAAGCTCCGAGGCCGTGGGCGAATGGAAGAGCGTCAACAAGACGGCGTACACAGCAAGGACCGGTCGTTATGCCGTGTCTGAGAGCGGGTACAGGCTAGAGGACGGGTGGGTCTACTTCTATGAGGTGAGAGCGACCAACGCAGCCGGGCTCAAGTCGAGCAGCTCGAGTCGAGGGGTGCTGTACTCGCCGACCAACCAACGGCTTCTGCTGGCGATCATCCTGTCCGTGATCATTCCTGTGGTGTTGCTGGGCTGCCTGGGGGGATGGGCGTACAAGCGGATGGAGCACTACTACCAGCACGTGGAGCAGCAGGAGAGGAGGAGGAAGCATCAGATGGACAGCATGAAGGAGATCTACGACGTGCTTGCCTTTATGCCGCTGCCTATTACTGGACAAGTCGTTCCACGTCTTGAGGTCATCGGTGAGGAAAAAGAAGAGAGTGAGGATGGAGACGAGACGTCAGACACTGCCTCATCACTGATGGATCAGCGAGCAGAGGCTGTCTTCACAGCTGAGAACGTAACCTTCGTCATCACCGACATGGAGTCCAGCACGCTTCTAGCTGAGACCAACCCCGCCCTCTTCCGGGAGATCCTCGAGATCCACGACGCGCTTGTGCGGCAGCTGGTGGACGAGTACTCGGGGTACGAGGTCATGTCGCAGGGCGACTCCTTCGAGCTCGCCTTCGTCGAGCCGTCTCTCGCCGTCTGCTTCTGCAACGCCCTGCAGACGCGGCTGATGAAGCACGAGTGGGACAAGCGGGTGCTGGGCCTGTCGGGGTGCGAGGAGATGTACGACGAGCACGAGAGGCTGGTGTACCGGGGGCCGCGAGTGAGGGTGGGAGAGCACCTGGCGAGGAAGGGAAGGGACTTCACGGTCAGGATCCACGACATCACGCGGGACATGGTGTTCGAGGGGGAGGGGTACAAGATCGCTCAGGCGATAGGGAACGGGGCGCAAGGGGGTCAGACGCTGATCTCGCAGGAGCTGTTCGAGGCCATCTCCTTCTGCTCCGGACTGTACAAGGCAGGCAACCCGATCCTGCACGAGCTGGGGGTGTACCAGGTGGGAGGAGACAGCAGCAGCGTCAAGGGGACGCAGGTCAAGCTCTACCAGCTGTCTGGACCAGTGTGGAAGCTGCCGACGGAGCCTGTGCGGGGGTTTAGCGGGAGCCTGCGAGGGCTTCACCAGGTGACGGAGGGGCGGCAGCTGCGCGTGCACCCGCTCGAGCAGTCCTTGTCGCTGGCGAGGATGAACACGACGTGCGTGTGTCTGGGGGTGGTGGGGGTGCCGGGGAGCAGGCGGGCTCTTGCTGAGGCGTGGATGAGAGAGACGGCGACGCTGGTGGCGCAGAGCTTCCGGGGGCACGTGATGGAAGGAGAGGGGGAGGAGGAGACGTTTGTGGTGTTTCCCAACCCCAAGTACGCGACTCACTTCGCCATGACCGCGCAGGTCGTCCTGCTGCACTCGACGCTGCCGTTCGAGGGGCTGCCGGACCTGTACAAGGAGGAGCACGGCATCGACGGGCAGCTGCTGTACGCGGGGCCGCGGGTGGGGATGGGGATGGTGACGTTGGAGGGGATGCTTCGGGAGTCAGAGGCAGCGCTGACGGAGGACCTGGAGGGTCTGATGGCGGGGGCGAGCAGGACGAGGCGACTGGCGCATGGGGGGCAGGTGGTGCTGGACGAGAAGAGCTGGAAGTACATGAGGAACATGATGCCGAGCCGCTGCGTGGGCATCGACCTGGGGGCTCACTTGCTGGGGGGCGGGGCCTCGGGGAGCGGAGAGGTGCAGAAGCTGTACGAGATGAGCCCGAGCGTGCTGGCAGGACGATGGTTCCCGTCGATCGAGTCGGAGAGGATGGTGAGCAGGGGGTACCGGGAGTCGCCGGACCCGAAGCAGGGGATCGCGGTGATGTTCCTACGGCTCAAGGAGGCGGCGAGCGCGGGGCCGGAGGCGGAGGAGAGCTGGAGGGAGGGGCAGGAGAAGATCGGGCAGATCCTGCGACAGGCGCTGGAGGAGTACGGCGGGTACGAGTGCAAGGAGGCGGAGGCGGGGAAGTTCACGCTGGTGTTCGACGACCTGGGGATGGCCATGGCCTTCGGGCTGACGGTGCAGAAGGAGTGGGAGGCGCTGTGGGAGCCTTGGGGGAAGAGGAGGGAGGGAGAGGACGAGGGGCGGGGGAAGGAGGAGGAGCAGGGCAGGAAGTCGTCGCTGCAGGTGGGGCTGGCGTACGGGACGGAAGCGTTCAGGAAGCCGCTGGTGAGCGGGAGAGCAGACTACTTCGGGGCTCTGCCCAACCTGGCGGCGAGGATCATGTCGCAGGCGGAGGGAGGGCAGCTCCTGCTGGAGTACGAGGGGGCGATAGCGTGGATGCGGAAGGAGGGGAGGGAGCTGCCGGGGGTGGGGAGGAACGCGGTGGTGGAGGTGGACTTGAAGGGGGAGGGAGGAGGGAGGCGGAGGGTGGAGCTGAGCGTGGCGGGGGTGTACCAGCTGAAGGGGGTAGAGCGGGAGAGGGTCTTGGCAGAGCCGGTGCTGATGCCACTGGAAGGGGAGGAGTAGGAGCACGGGCTGAGGAATGTGACTGAAGTCAGTCAGTGAGTTTGTTTAGCAATGAAGTTGGTATAAGAAATCGTGACTGACGTACGGGTTACTTGTTGAAGGAATGTCGCAGGGCCGTGTGTGCTGCGTGTTCAGAGACCCCGACATTTGTTCGAGGGTGGATTGAACTTTCAGCCCTTGACCTCTGAGTGCGGCGTAAGCTGAAGGGGCAGCCACGCGGCTCCCAGCCAAGGCCTGAGTCATTTGTTGTCACTTTTTCCATGTCACCTTACGCTTGCTGGTGGCGATGCTGTTTGCCCAAGGATTGTCGTTTGGTCGTGGTAAATGTTCAAAACACTGAGTTCTCAAGTTGTTTCATCAGCAACACCATTATGTCATTCCCGTCCTGCTCACTTGAAATTAATTTATTGAATGTTTAGTTGTCATCCAACGCCTCAATGCCTGGCAAGATCTTGCCCTCAAGCAGCTCCAAGGATGCTCCTCCGCCTGTGGACACGAAGGAAACCTGATCCTCCATGTTGAACTTGGCAGCAGCAGTGGCAGAGTCTCCTCCTCCAATGATTCCGTTGTTTCCAGCAGCTGTTGTCTCAGCGACCGCGTCGAGGAGAGCCTTGGTTCCCTTGGAGAAGTTGTCGAACTCGAACACTCCAGCTGGTCCGTTCCACACGACGGTCTTGGAGGAGAGGATCTTGTCGCGGAAGAGCTTCATCGACTCAGGCCCGCAGTCCATTCCCTCCCAGCCGTCGGGGATGCCCTCCTCCTTGGTCACAAACTTGATCTCTTGATCGTTCTTAAACTCCTGGCCGCAGGCCCAGTCGCAGGGCAGAACGATCTCAATCCCCTTGGTCTTAGCCTTCTCCATCAGCTTGGGGGCCAGCTCGGCTCCTGCAAAGACAGGTCTCAGTTGGTAGAAGCGTGAGCGTAACTGAGACAGCAGGAAGAGATCATCCTAGAGGAGCAAGACGAAGAGGTGAAATAGCATGCAACATGCACGGAGACAGAGAAGAAGTCGGAGAGGACTGGAGGAGGGAAAGCAACAATGAAACGAGATCACAAGTGTGCGAAAGTTAGGGAGAGGAAGGGAAGAGACTTCACCCTTCTGGTCGTAAAGGCTCTTGCCGATGGACATGCCAAAGCAGACCTTCATGAAGGTGTAGGCCATGCCACCGCAGAGGATGATTCCGTCGGACTGGTCGATCAGATTCTCAATTACCATAATCTTGTCGGAGATCTTGGCCCCTCCAACGATGGCGAGGAGAGGTCTCTTGACCTTGTCCGGGTTGAGCACGCTTGAGAAGGCCTCGAGCTCCTTGGCAACGAGGAGACCGCTGACGCAAGGCATCTTGCCCTTCATGCCAACCATGGATGAGTGGGCGCGATGAGCTGTGCCGAAGGCGTCGTTGACGTAGACATCTCCGAGCTTGGAAAGAGACTCGCGGAACTTGGTGACTTCTTCAGGGGTGGCCTTGAACGGCTTGCAGTCATCAGAGCACTTCTTGCCGTTGCAGCTGGCGGAATGCTCGATGCCCTTGCCCTCCTCCTCCACGTGCCAGCGAAGGTTCTCAAGCAGGATGATGGAGCCATGAGCTGGGTTTGCGCATGCAGCCTCGACCTCAGGGCCGACGCAGTCAGGGAGAAAGGTGACGGGCTTGTTCATGAGCTCTCCGAGCTTGTCGGCGACGGGCTTGAGGGTCATCTTGGCGTTCGGCTTGCCGTCAGGGCGGCCCAAGTGGGACATAAGGATGACCGCCTTGGCGCCGTTGTCAAGAGCCTTCTGAATGGTCGGCATGGCTCCGACGATGCGCTGGACGTTGGTGATGGCACCAGAGGACTTGTCCTGAGGGACGTTGAAGTCGACGCGCATGAGAACGCGCTTGTCCTTGACGTCGACATCGGCGATGGTCTTCTTGTTGAGATTCATGGCGGAGGAGCTCGAGTCTCGCCACGTGAACTGATGAACCCAAATGAGGCGTAGGAAGTGGGGGTGGGGGTGGTGGGAGAATGAGGGGGTGGACTCTGGGCAAGAGACAGATGGACCGTCTGTCAAAGTGTTTGAAGTAAGGGTACTAAACCAGGTATATAACGGAAGTACCCGGTAGGTACTTCAACGGCAAGAATTTGAGGGGTTCAGTTCAGGTTGGGGTGGACCATATAAAGGATTGGGACATAGTGGGGATGTGGTTCGTGCAAGTTCCAGGGTTCGGGCCTGGCTCAGGATGAGTCAACCCGACCACCGTCACAGTGACTATCCGGGGCCCGGTGACTCAGGATGTTGCACAGTGAAGTGGACCGGGCCCTATTGACACTGAGTCAGACCGGCCGGTCAACATTGAACCGCCCCGCGGCCCAGCCTAACGGTGCCCCACAGGTCAGTCACGATTCATGATTCAAGTTCTTATACTAAATTCATCTGACTGACATCTTAGTCAACTATCCCATCGCCTTCAGTTCAATCACCGTCCCCATTCCAGTGGCCTCAGCACCGGCTCTGCCAAGACCCTCTCCCGCTCTACCCCCTTCAGCTGGTACACCCCCGCCACGCTCAGCTCCACCCTCCGCCTCCCTCCTCCCTCCCCCTTCAAGTCCACCTCCACCACCGCGTTCCTCCCCACCCCCGGCAGCTCCCTCCCCTCCTTCCGCATCCACGCTATCGCCCCCTCGTACTCCAGCAGGAGCTGCCCTCCCTCCGCCTGCGACATGATCCTCGCCGCCAGGTTGGGCAGAGCCCCGAAGTAGTCTGCTCTCCCGCTCACCAGCGGCTTCCTGAACGCTTCCGTCCCGTACGCCAGCCCCACCTGCAGCGACGACTTCCTGCCCTGCTCCTCCTCCTTCCCCCGCCCCTCGTCCTCTCCCTCCCTCCTCTTCCCCCAAGGCTCCCACAGCGCCTCCCACTCCTTCTGCACCGTCAGCCCGAAGGCCATGGCCATCCCCAGGTCGTCGAACACCAGCGTGAACTTCCCCGCCTCTGCCTCCTTGCACTCGTACCCGCCGTACTCCTCCAGCGCCTGTCGCAGGATCTGCCCGATCTTCTCCTGCCCCTCCCTCCAGCTCTCCTCCGCCTCCGGCCCCGCGCTCGCCGCCTCCTTGAGCCGTAGGAACATCACCGCGATCCCCTGCTTCGGGTCCGGCGACTCCCGGTACCCCCTGCTCACCATCCTCTCTGACTCGATCGACGGGAACCATCGTCCTGCCAGCACGCTCGGGCTCATCTCGTACAGCTTCTGCACCTCTCCGCTCCCCGAGGCCCCGCCCCCCAGCCAGTGAGCCCCCAGGTCGATGCCCACGCAGCGGCTCGGCATCATGTTCCTCATGTACTTCCAGCTCTTCTCGTCCAGCACCACCTGCCCCCCATGCGCCAGTCGCCTCGTCCTGCTCGCCCCCGCCATCAGACCCTCCAGGTCCTCCGTCAGCGCTGCCTCTGACTCCCGAAGCATCCCCTCCAACGTCACCATCCCCATCCCCACCCGCGGCCCCGCGTACAGCAGCTGCCCGTCGATGCCGTGCTCCTCCTTGTACAGGTCCGGCAGCCCCTCGAACGGCAGCGTCGAGTGCAGCAGGACGACCTGCGCGGTCATGGCGAAGTGAGTCGCGTACTTGGGGTTGGGAAACACCACAAACGTCTCCTCCTCCCCCTCTCCTTCCATCACGTGCCCCCGGAAGCTCTGCGCCACCAGCGTCGCCGTCTCTCTCATCCACGCCTCAGCAAGAGCCCGCCTGCTCCCCGGCACCCCCACCACCCCCAGACACACGCACGTCGTGTTCATCCTCGCCAGCGACAAGGACTGCTCGAGCGGGTGCACGCGCAGCTGCCGCCCCTCCGTCACCTGGTGAAGCCCTCGCAGGCTCCCGCTAAACCCTCGCACAGGCTCCGTCGGCAGCTTCCACACTGGTCCAGACAGCTGGTAGAGCTTGACCTGAGTCCCCTTGACGCTGCTGCTGTCTCCTCCCACCTGGTACACCCCCAGCTCGTGCAGGATCGGGTTGCCTGCCTTGTACAGTCCGGAGCAGAAGGAGATGGCCTCGAACAGCTCCTGCGAGATCAGCGTCTGACCCCCTTGCGCCCCGTTCCCTATCGCCTGAGCGATCTTGTACCCCTCCCCCTCGAACACCATGTCCCGCGTGATGTCGTGGATCCTCACCGTGAAGTCCCTTCCCTTCCTCGCCAGGTGCGCTCCCACCCTCACTCGCGGCCCCCGGTACACCAGCCTCTCGTGCTCGTCGTACATCTCCTCGCACCCCGACAGGCCCAGCACCCGCTTGTCCCACTCGTGCTTCATCAGCCGCGTCTGCAGGGCGTTGCAGAAGCAGACGGCGAGAGACGGCTCGACGAAGGCGAGCTCGAAGGAGTCGCCCTGCGACATGACCTCGTACCCCGAGTACTCGTCCACCAGCTGCCGCACAAGCGCGTCGTGGATCTCGAGGATCTCCCGGAAGAGGGCGGGGTTGGTCTCAGCTAGAAGCGTGCTGGACTCCATGTCGGTGATGACGAAGGTTACGTTCTCAGCTGTGAAGACAGCCTCTGCTCGCTGATCCATCATGTCACACTCTCCACGCACTCTTTCACTATGATGCATTTTCAGATCGTGACTCGCGTCTAAAGACGACGGGCAAGGCTTCCCGACCAAGGGCGAAGGCTTCATAACAAGCACGTCGTAGATCTCCTTCATGCTGTCCATCTGATGCTTCCTCCTCCTCTCCTGCTGCTCCACGTGCTGGTAGTGGTGCTCCATCCGCTTGTACGCCCATCCCCCCAGGCAGCCCAGCAACACCACAGGAATGATCACGGACAGGATGATCGCCAGCAGAAGCCGTTGGTTGGTCGGCGAGTACAGCACCCCTCGACTCGAGCTGCTCGACTTGAGCCCGGCTGCGTTGGTCGCTCTCACCTCATAGAAGTAGACCCACCCGTCCTCTAGCCTGTACCCGCTCTCAGACACGGCATAACGACCGGTCCTTGCTGTGTACGCCGTCTTGTTGACGCTCTTCCATTCGCCCACGGCCTCGGAGCTCTCTCCGTCTCTCCTGCGCTTGTGCACGCGATACTCATACCGCACTACGCTTGACTCAGCCTCCACGAAGTCTGACCAGCACGCCTCCAGCACTGCGTTGTCTTGAACCAAAATCGGCTCCTTGCAGAACTGCGAGTCATAGATAGTAGACGGCAGCGGAGGCGTCGAGTCCACCAGGAACGGCCTGGACGATATCGTCGTCGACAGAGGAGGCCCAGCCCCGTTGTATCCCTTCAGCAAGATCTTGTACCACCCTCCGTTGATCAGCGCGAGCCCGTTGGCCTTGTACTTCTGCCGGTACATGGTCAGCCCGTCCGAGGTCTTGTACGAGATGGCCGTCAAGGCAGTGAAGGCCATGGCGTCGTCTCGATCGTGGCAGGAGGTCTCGTCGTCGCACATGTCTATCCCCCAGTAGTAGGACCGCATCCCGCTGTCCGGGTCCGAGAACTCCGGGAACTCGAACGAGAACTCCTGCAGCGACGCGATCACCGTCTCCGACCTGATGCCGCACCCCTCCTCCGCCCTGCACACTGCCGGGGTCAGGTCGCACACTCCCTGTACCCTCCCGGGGTTGTCCACCGAGTCGTCGACCTGTAGAAACGTTCCTACCACGTTGGCAGTACGCAGCTTTCCCTGCTTCACAAGACACTCGGGCACAGGGCCGCAGAGACTTGGGTTGTTGGCTGGTGTAACAATGTTGACGTCCAGCAACTTTTTGCTATTGACAGACTTTATCAGGTTGCACCATTCCAGCGGTATCGCTCCTTCAAACTTGTTCACCTCGACGTTGAGATCTTTCAGCGCGAGCATGGAGCCCAGCTCGGCCGGCAGAGGACCCGTCAGCTGGTTGTCACGAAGCACCAGCCTCTGCAGCTTCTGCAGCCTCGCCATCTCTCGGGGAATCTCTCCAGAGAACTCATTCACATGAAGATACGCCAGCCTCAGCTCCGTCAGATTCCCAAGATAGGGCGACAGATAGCCATTGAGGCGTTTGTTCGAAGGCTTGGAAGGGCCGAAGTCAAGGTGGTAGACATGCTGGTAGGTGGTGTCGATGCCGTCGCAGAAGTCCAACCCATCCGCTGGATACAGCGCACAGCAGTCACAGATCACTCCTGACCAGTCACACGGATGCGAGCTCGGATCGTCAATATACCAGTTGTTGAGCAGCCCGTCATGCTTCCCAATGGCGCGTCGGAAGTTCACCAGAGCCTCTCTGTCGACAGGATGCATGGGGATGGTCGTGTTCTTGCTCTCGAGATGTTTGATGCCATCCGGGCAGCATCTGGACGTTGGGACGTCGGTACATCGATCTCCTTGAACGTGTACGAAGCCCAACAGCGCCAACACAAGATGTGCGAAAACGGTTTTGTTGTTGAGGGAAGGAAACATTCTAGTAACCATTCTAGTAATCATTTTAGTTGAGGGAAAGAATCATACAAGTAAGGGGGAGAGGAGGCCTGAAAAAGAAAGAAATGAAGGGTATTTCCCCATGTATCTTTGTCTTGCTCCTTATCTCCCTTATCTCCCTTCTCTCTCCTTCTCTCTCCTTCTCTCCTCAAACTGGCAACTGGAAATCGAACATATCGGGTCAGCTCACACGATACCCTATGTCACTACCCCTTCTTTTTCCCGGAAATCTTGGGGTACTGGTTACTCGTGCAGGGGGCTGAGATTCTGTTTGGGTCCCCCTACCCCCCTTTTGAGTGTTTACCATACCACCCCTGCTGCAGTCATTCCCCCACATCACCTCAAGAGGTCAAAACGGGAACAATCATTATATAACTTTTAGTCATCACAGTTTAATGGTACAGAATGCCTGGGAGTGATCGGAAAAGATCGGGACTCGCCGTACTATGGCAGCGGGCGCCCGGGCCCGGCCGGCATCCGAGTCGAGGCCCAAAGGTGATAGACGGTAACTTCAACTGTTAGTACGGTAGTCACTAGTACTCATAACCGTACTTGGCAGCAACTTGGCTCTGAGCTCAGATGCCAGGCAACTCACAACGGTTGCCAAGTTGCGTGAACAAGGCTTCAAGACATGTTTGATGATTCCATGATGATGCTAGAGTTAACTGAGATCATTCCATTCTCGATATTCTCTGCTCCTCTTGTAATAATTTCTGCAAGTCTTGATACGACATCTGTGCCGTTTCTTCCGTCGAGTACCCGTAGTCAGTAAGAGAGGCTATCAAGACCTTCACCTCGTCATCATGAGACACGTACAATTCCTTGCCCTGCATGTCGTTGAAAATCTCATCATACCTGGCCATCAGAAAGTCTCTCCAGGCCTCAGACGCTGCGAATGGTAAGTGCAGGTGAACGAAGGCGTTGAGCTTTGAGGAATCCAAACTGTAGAAGTCTGTGTGGTGCATGTAGTCATCAATGAGCTTTCCGATCTCATCCATGTCAAGTTTGTTCTGTTGCTGACGCTCTATCTCCTGTCGGACGGCTTCTTGTGGCTGGTGTGAAACGTCGTTGAAGACTCTAAGACAGCACATCTTCTGTTCGTACATCAGCTGCGAAGCATCCTTCAACTCTGCTTCACGGGAAGAGACTTCACTGTCAAGAAGCTCAACAGACTTGAAGATTTCATTCTTGATGTTTTGTTTGGATGGCATAGACGCTTTGATGTCCTCGAGTGATTCTTGGCTCGTAATGATTGAAAGGCATTTGACGAGAGTCTCGTCTCGCTCGTAAGCAGCGGCTATGACCTCGTCCAGGTCTTTACTCGTCTCCTTGGAACGCTTCTTCATCGTTCGCAAGTCTGCTTTCTTGCCAGCCAGCGTTTCTTTCATTTGATCCAGCCGCGTCCTTTTGGATTCGAGTTCAAGCCGCTTGCTAGCGAGCACCTGATCCAGCTGCTGCTGTTGCCTCTCCCTCTCCTGAGAAACTTCGTCCATCCGTTTTCTGTGAGAGCTCTCGTGGGGCTCGAGAGCAGCTCCTTGACTTTCATAGGTAGCTTTGATTTCTTGCTTGTATTGAACGATCTCTTCTGTCAAACTCTGATTCTCTTTCTCTATGTTCTCGAGCCTCTTCTTCAAGTTTGTTCTTGTGCGGTATGACATCTCATGGTCTGCGTTGATGACAAGCTCGTGAAGCCTCGTCAGGGCTCTGTTGAAGTACTTCTTGAAGTTCTGCACATCTTCGTTTGCTGTCTTGCTCCACTTTCCTGCCTTGGCTTCATCAAAGATCAACAACTCTGCCTGAAAAAGATGCTCTGGCGATGGCAAGGCGATATTCCCCGAGACTGCAATACCATTCATCTTCACCGAGTGTAAAACCATCCTCAGAGTGTGATTTACACTCTCGACAGAACCACGGAGCTCGTTCTTGTACCGGGCAACCAACTCCTTCAGCTCCTGTACGTGCTTCTTGTTCACCTCGATCCGGTGAGGGTATCCAAACTCAAACTCGTCGATGGTGTTCCACAGCCTGTTGAGGCTATCAAGGAAAGGACCTTTCCGTATCCTCTCCTTCAAGACCATCCACTCAGTCTCAGCCGCCGCTCTGGTCTAGCACAAGACACAGTGAGCAAGCAAGACCTCCATCAACCGCTCATCACCTTTGCGAGCATCAGCAGAAACTCATCGAGCGACTTGTCTTCTTGCACGCTCAGCAGCAATTCTCGAACTATGTCTGTTGCTTCCTCCTGCATGTCGGGGGTCGACGACTCCTCCCCGACTCCATCTGTTGTCTCCTCGGCCCTGCGCTTGATCTCGAAGAAGAGAGACAAGACGAAGGACGCCGCTTGCACAGCCACCCATTTCTTCTTGTTTTGCTTACTTGGCTTGCTGCTCTGTTGCATCTTCTCGACGAACCACATGGCAGATTGTCGGACGGATTGCTGCAAGGCGTTTTCAGCTTCATCGATGCACCTCTTGCTGCTTTCAAGAGCCCTTCGCGTCTCCTCCACCTCTCTTTCTGCCTGCAGCATGAACGCCCGCATGTCCTCGTACCTCATCGTCTTCACCACAAACTTCTTGCTGCCCCGTGTGTCTTCGCTCCGATCACCAGCTGCAACGTCGATCGAGCTCGAAGCGTGCACCTGCCTTGCTGCTTCTCCTGAAGTCCCCGCCCCGCCCCTCCCCCCGCCCGCTTTCCCGGCCTTGAGCTTGGGCAGCATGCCAACGGGGTATTAGGGCCAGGCCGTTGAGCGGAGGAAATGGAGGAGGGGGTGCAACGGATCATCAGGAGAAGGCAAGTAGAGGACAGAGCGAGGGCAGCGCAGGACGGAGACAAAGAGGCAGAGGAGGTGAGAGAGCGAAGGCCAGGGAGAGGCATGTGACTTCATGCAGGAGCTGCTGGGCTTGCTGACGCTGCCATTGGAGCGATACGTGAGGACGGCTGTGGAGGAAGGAGTGGGCAGGTTGCTGGTGAAGAAGAAGGAAGGGGATGGGGAAGGAGGCCAGGGCTCGGAGATTGTTCTCGGTCGGCTCAAAGAGCTAGCGGGTCACGGGGAGCACTACGTTCGAGCGAGCGTTGCAGTGGTGCTGAAGAGCGTCTTCGTGCTTGAGCGAGCAGAGGAGGCGATTCGGCTCAAGTCACAAGGAGATTTGAAAGAGGAGAGTTACATCCAAGAAGAGTGCGACATGGTGAAAGCTCTAGCAAGCGATGACAACGAAAAAGTGAGGTATGCTGCTCTCGACGCCATGTCTCCGGTCTCTCCTCTCCCTCAACCCGTAGCTGTCTTACATGTTGCTAGCTGGCCATGGCGCTTGACCGGCAGGCAGTGGAGACAGCGGCCAAGGCGACGTCGGACCATGACATGAGGGTCAGACACTACGGCACTGAGCTCCTGTGCGAGGTCTTTACAAGGGTTTCGAGGGAGCAAGAAGAAGAGAAAGGTCGAAGAGAAGCTGATGCTTGTCACCTGTCTTGTCTCCTGTCTTGTCTCCTGTCTTGTCACCTGTCTTGTCACCTGTCTTGTCTCCTGTCTTGTCTCCTGTCTTGTCTCCTGTCTTGTCTCTGTCTTGCATACTTGCACCGACCCTTGTGCTTCAGATGACTTGCGGCTTTTCTTCTTCAAGTCCTTGTACTTTCAAGTCTTCAACTTCCTCATCCGCGCCTACCATCAAGGCGCTCCCGAGACCTACGGCGACTTCCACATGCGATGGCTTGTGATCAGCGCCATGCGAAGCTCGTTCCATCAGTCCAGCCCTGACGCCATTCGATCTCAGTTCGCAGCTCTCGAGCAAGTCTTCGACGACCAAGACATCGTTGACGTGTTGGTGAAGGCCCTGACAGACCCCGAGCTGGAGGTTCGCAAGGTGAAGCGAAGGAGGTTGTGGGGTGAGAAGAGCTGAGAAGGAGAGGGCTGGACAGGTGGCCGCGGAGTCTCTGATGGAGCTGGCTGAGGTAGGAGTGGACAAGGCAGTCCGAGCCTTTCAAAGCAACATCAACGAGGTTCTCGAGCTGGGAACTGAAAATGCCAGCCTCGGTCCAGCTCCCTCCCCTGGTGGATAGGACGTGACTTGGAGACAGGAGCGAATGAAACACCTGAAGTTCGGCAATGGAGGGAAGAGAATGGAAAGGTAGCAACGTTACAAGATGAGAATGAGGAGAAGAGTGCAGAACAAGCACTGCAAGAGTTTAACCTTCGTGAAGAGAAGAGGTGAAGAGACAACGAAAGATGGATGGCTGGAGAGCGATGTATGTACTGATGCTGCTGCGACTGCAGGAGGCAGGATTACGAGATCAAGCTCGCGATCCAGTACATGCAAGACCTTGAGGAGGAGAATGACTGGAAGAAATTGACAGACTTTGGTATTCGGCAGCACATGGTGCCATGATGATGATGTTCTTGCAGCATTCCCAAGAGAGAAAGTTCGCAAGAGGGTTGTCAAGGTGCCTTTCTTGAGCCTTCCGCTCCGTCCTGACTACCTCGGGAGGATGAAGATGAAAACCCGGACAGGAGAGCTATCAGGATAAGAGCAGCTGAGTGCCTCCACAACCTCGTGGCGAGGGGCGTCGATCAAGCAGCTGTAGGAATCGTGAAGAACATGCAGGAGTATTCTCAACTTCTAGGAATGTCAGAGATGCTCTCAAACGCTGCGTCCATCATCGAAGTCGAGCAGCAAGTAGACCTGAAGTCTGCTGCCCTCAGGTTCTTCTTGACATGCTAGCAGAGAGAGTCTTCGAAGCAAGTGGTGGAGTACCCACAAGAGAGAGTGAACGAGTTGCTGTTGACGATGCGTGAGGAGAGCAAGAGGACCTGAGCTCGAACGTGAGGCTGACATAGCATGCAGAGTGAGGTGATGGACGAGAGAAGTGCAGCTGCCATGGAGCTGGGAAGGATGGCGGAAGAAGGTGCTGACGCTCTTGACCCTCTCGAGCTCCCTGATCGCCTCATGGTCAAGGTGACTCTAGAGCACAGCTGCTCCTCCTCGAGCACTGGAAGGATCACGTCCAGGCCCTCAAGGCTGCAGGCGTCTTTCGCGGGAAGCTTGTTTCCAATGCAGAGACGCTGGACAGGAGCGCGTGAGAGCAGGAGGAGGGTGAAGTTGATCAAGAGGTTGTATTAGATCAATGGAGTATCAAGTTGAATCACATCAACGCAGAAGGAAGGGAATCTGATCCTCAACTCTCTGCTTGCAGACTCGTTTCTTTCTGCTGGTTGTCTCTGGCGTTGGTATCGAAGCCTTTCGCTTCTCACCACTTGCAATAGCCTCCTCCGCTTCCGCAGGCGACGTATGCAGCTCTCGCTCCACCTGCTGCTCCTTCGGCTCCTCCACCGCCTCCTCTTCCTTCGGCTTCTCTTCCTGCACCTGCACCTGCTCAGGGGCAGCATGGAAGGACTTGTCGGGGCTGCTCGCGTAGAGGTCCCTCATCTCATCTCCGAACAACGCGGGTCCGCGCATGTGCGTCTGCCGGTTGTTGGTCCCCATGGCAAGCCTCTGCATGCTCGAGCTCTTGCTCAGCTGCAACGCTGGTTTCGATGGCTCCCCGTGCGAGTCAGGAAAGAGACTTGTGCCCGCAGGGAAGGAGCTGACAGGCAGGACCTCATCCTTCACCGCACAAGCTTCCAACCAGGCAAGCGACGTCATGCTGATACCCCACTGCTGAGCCTTCAGCGCCTTCTCCCTCATACCAGCTTGAGCCTCAGTCACGAGAATCAAGTGCGAGGTGATCTTGCGCGACATTTTCTCCTCGAACGAGCCCCCAAGCTGCTCCGCCAGCCACCTTACCAGGTTCTTCTCGTGCCTGTACACCCCCGAGACGCAGACCGAGAGCTTCTGCATCTCAGCCGAGGGCTTCTCCCTCCGCAGCGGCTTGTGGAGTTGACATGAGGAGAGAGCGAACTTCTTGCCTACCGCCGCACACTTCCTCACCCAATACTCAGAGACAAGCTGTACCCCCTTGTTGGCTGTGAAGGAACGACTGCCAAAGGTTGGCACCTTGATCTTGCTGGGAAACAGTGGATGGATCTCATACGCTTGATCAGCTTTCTCTCGAAGAATCTCCTTCTCGACCACTACTCCTCCATTTTGTTGAATCATCTCCTTGAGAATTGATCGATGCTGACAATCAGAATGGAAAGAGAAAAAACAGTTCTTGAAGATCTTATCTTTCCTCTCGCTTGCTGAATGAATATTCTGTACATTTTCTTTCTTGTGGTCTTCTTTTTTCATCGTCTCAAGACCATCTGTAAGGTTCGCCGGAATGTTTTCTTTGCCGGCATTCTCTCTCTTCTTCGCAAAGACGACAGAGCTCGACGATTTACTCTTTTCCTTGACGACAACAGTGTCCACGTCGATCACAAAATTTTCTATCGAAGCAAGACATTTTTCATCGTAACAGGCCCTGAGCCACTTCCAGTCCACCATGGGAACAAAATTTTCATGGAATTCCAGGAACTTGTGAAGGTCGGTGGGACAATCTCTTGCAGCGATAATGTGCGTAACAGAGCGATCACGGGGAAAACCTTCTGCATCGGGCTGTATCACGGTTGCCCCCAGCAACCTGCACAACGAGATCGAGTAATTTCTGACCTTGTCATCGCATACAACAACAAATATCTTGCAGTCTTGTAGATCGTCCCTTGTATCTTGGAAATCAATGGTGAAGTCCATCTCACTCGCCGCAGTAGATGATTGGGTGGAGACAACCTCATCGTCGCTATTCTTGACAAAAGAATCGTGCTCAGAAATGATATCCTCGATGTCCAAGCATCCATCCTTCCATCTCTCCAACAGTATATTCTTAGGGATGATGGGGATGCCCTTCCTCATCGCAAAATCGTACTTGGCTCCCTTCTGTCCGCTTGTGATCAAGGCTGTACAACTTTCGTCGAGCTCCGGCGAGACTTCAGCCCCCAGGAAGATGATCTGCTCTTGAAGAGATGCCCTCTCATCCAGCTCCATACCTGATACCGAAAACTTGCATCCTGACCACAACTTGAAGCGGAAGTCGAAGGGGTCGAGCCGGGTGCGTCGCTCAGCACTTTCAGTCAACCACTGGGGCTGAACTACATAAACTTGTTGCTTCCCTTGTAAAAACCTTGAGATTGCAACTCGACTCTTCTGGGTATCAGCGTTCTTAGCTATGATGACATTGACTCCCTCGTGGAAATCTCCTTCTACTCTCCCTCCGAACGCAACAACTTGAAATTTCAGAGCTTCCTTTTCATCCAATGACATCCCGCTGAAGGAAATGGTGTCTCCCTTGAGTGCAGAATTCAGCACGCATGCGCTGTGCCGGAGCAGCTGGTCCGGATCCCATCTCGGGGATAAAATACAGTCTACCCCTCGCACCAAGCTTGTGGGGTGCGATGACAACAATGAAGAGGCCGTTGGAATATCCCACGAGTCTACAACCAGCATATCTTGGCATCCATCTGGTTTGTCGCCTGCCTTCTGTACAGAACCAAGGTATCGAACAGAGAAACCCAGCTTCTTGAGCACTCCTCGCAGCCTCTTTGTATCTGCGCTCGTCAACCCCTTTGCCAGCTTTGCTGATCGAATTTGCCGGTTTTCCATGTCTCAGATTTGTCGAGAGACCCTGTCATCAACATCAGACACAAACATTGAACAAGAGACAGGGACGCAAAACAATTGCTCTCTATCAGCTTTGAGTAAATCATCTGATAATCTCAGTTGGACATATGAATGCTTGTTTCAAAGCTATCCCTTCCTCCCTTTGGCCTTGTCACAATTTTCATCTCAAACCGTCTCACGTCCACTCACTGTTTCTCTTGCTCATCCTCTTTGCTTCTTTGTCCTTCTTCCTCCCTTCCCCTCTCTTCCCCTCCCTTCCCCTCCCTTCCCCTCCCTTCCCCTCCCTTCCCCTCCCTTCCCCTCCCTTCCCCTCCCTCCCTCATTCCCTGATTCCTGTGCCCGCCTTTCAGCCCTTTCAGACGGTTATTACAAATAACGGTTAACTGCGCGCGCCGCGGCGGCGGGGCGGGCCCGGAGCTGATTGATCATCTCAGCCGAGTCAGTGATCGGGCGGTTAAAGCCGGGCCACGGGCCATACCCGGCCGGTCAGTGACTGCTGAGGCCCCGGGCCCGACCCGGTACTAGTAGTGATCGGAGCGGGGGCCCCGGCCCAGCGCCTGGCAGGGAGCCCGGCGGGCCGCCCGCACCACCGCCCGGCAGTCACGTGAACACTGGCAGCCCGGCCGGGCCGCCGGGCGGCCTGTGGCTGACTCAGTGAGCCCAACTGACTCGTCAGACTCTGAACCGTCATCAAGTTTGGCTCCGACTCGCCGGTCCGAGCAGAGCCGGGCCGGGCACGCCCGGGCCCGGGGTCCGAGTCACCGGGTCACCGAGGCGCCGTGACCGCCCGGCACCGTACGCCGTGACGGTTTTTTTTTATGGCAGCGGCTTCTGAGGCAAGCTTGGGCCAGGAGTCAAGTCAAACTCAGGGCCAGTCAGTGAGACGACCGAGCGGTGAGGGGTGAGGAAGGAGGAGGAGGCTCAGTAGTGCTTCAAGTCACAGCCATGCTCTCAGTTCAAGGTTGCTTCTGACAGAATAAAACTTTGATCAGAACTCCAGCTGTTGGTCGTTGATCGTGCAGTCAGTCCGCCCACCATGACGGACAGTGATAGAGAGTTCGAAATGCTCAAAGAGAAACTCCGAAAGCTTCTCGAGAGTCCGTTCTTTGAAGGTTTCATTTACTTGGTCATCCTGTACAACATAGCGACTATGGCGCTGGATGATATCTATGTAAATTCTCCTTCAACTGTTCGCGTTGTGTTGGTAACGAGGTTACTTGTAGGCGCAATGGTACAACTACGAGACTATCATACGTCTAGACAGCATCACAGACACCATAGTGTTGTCCATCTTCACTCTCGAAGCGGCTTTGAAGATCCTAGCTTATGGAGCCGGCTACAAGCCGGCTGGCGAGGGAAAGGCCATGTTCATACAAGGCGAACAACAGAGTAGTGTGTCTGAAGAGAAAGTCAAGGCAATCAGAGACGCTTTTGACATGTTCGATGCCGACGGTGGGGGCTCAATCGATGAGTTCGAGATGAGGATAGCGATGAGAGCTTTGGGGATAAGCAGGAGCAGGAAAGAAGTGAAGTCGCTGTTTGAGGCAGCTGATATTGATGGAAGCGGGCAGCTGGAGTTTGAGGAGTTCAAAGAGATCATGGTGAGTGAGATGTCAATGCATGTGTTGAGTCTGAAGGAGAGCAGATAGCGAAGATGAGCGAAGAGAGAGTGATCGACGGTTATTTCGTCTCCTACTGGAACCGTCTCGATTTCTTCATCGTTTGCGTTTGCTGGATTGTGTTCATCGTTGCAGCCATTGACAAACAAGCTTCGGCTGACATCGGTCGCATGGCCAAGGTCCTGCGACTCTTCCGTCCTCTACGAGCTCTGCGCAACCTGGAGGGGCCTATGGATGTTCTCCGGGTCATTCCTGCTAGTCGGTCGTCCATGACGAACCTGTTGGTTCTCTTCAGCTTCATCGTCTTCATCTATTCGATCCTGGGGATCAACTTGTACGGTATTGATGGCTCTTTCTATGGCAAGTGTGTTGTAGCAGATGGCAACACTCTTGCGGCCACGTGGGATCAAAGAATGTACGGGATCGTTCCATCGAACTTTACGAACAAGGAGCCGACATTTGGAGAGATGCAGGTGAACGAGGCTGATATGATGCCATTGTTTGATCATGAGATGCGTTCAGATCCCTCTCAGAGTGTGTGGCCCATCAGGCGGAGGCTGCGAAGAAGATTTCTTTGAGTGCTCCTGCAAACCTCCCTCAGAGAATCTCTCAGACATAAGTTTTGCCGAGCTCCATCCGGGTTGCCGCCGAAGCCCTACAGGATCTCTACTGGATCAAACCAACACCGGAGCTCCTCGTGAGTGCACCTGTGGCTTGTCCTTGTCCTTGTCCTTGTCCTTGTCCTTGTCCTTGTCCTTGTCCTTGTCCTTGTTCTGCACCTCTCTCTTGTTCACGATGAAGACGATGACCATGACAATTATGCTTTTTTTGCGTCGATATTGATGGTGGCTGATCGCTGATATTGATCGCTCTCTGTTGTTTGACTTCATTTCTGTTCTTTTTTCACAGAGTTGCCTTTCTTCGGGTTCCTGGGGTTTAGCAACTTTCCGATTGCGGTCCTGACAATCTTTTCAACAACTTCTCTATCCAACTGGAACATGACGCTGATGTATGCCATGGAAGGACTTGATCCTACCGTAGGGTGGCTCTTCTTCATCAGGTGTTCCGCTCCCTTATCACCTCCTCGCTCATACTTCTCAGTCTGATCATCTTGGCACGCTTCTGGATCCTCAATCTCGCAATGGCAGTGATGGCCATGGCGTACAGAGAGGTGAGTTGGTCTATACCGAGACACGCGGACGTGTTGATGTTGTTTGGGTTGATGATGTTTGTGTTACTTGCGAGTTACTGCAACGTCGTTCTTTTACAAGCTTGCAACAAGAACGAGCGATCTGAACGTCTTCCTGCACATGTTTCTGATATAAGAGGGACCAGGTTCGGAGCAGGAGGAGGGAGATACAGAAGGAAAAAGCTCAGATAAGAGCTGAAACTCTCCTCGTGAAGAAGCTGCAGAAAGAGCAGAAGATCTCAGCAGTCAAGGAGACGGACGAGAGTATCAACATCCAGTCCAAGAAATTCGCCAAGGTGACTGCTCTTTTGTTCGAGTTAGTCTGTGTTTGAGTTGGTTTCAAGATCTTGGAAGTGATCAAGTTGAAGCTTGACAAGAGCAATATGTCAGAGATCGATGAGGAAAACTACGACGACTTGTACAACTTTCTAGATGAGAAGACCAAGGATGGAGTTGTTAGCATAGAAGATTTCCACGCCTCTATGCTCAGGTTGCGCGTAACCGTAACAGAAGATGAAGGTGAGGGCTCACATAACCGCGAGCCCCTCCTCCCTCAATCTGGGTATGCCGGTGCAAACCTGACCCTAGGCCCTTCCGGGAGGCTACCTCGATCGAGAGCAAGGTTCCTTATGGCGTGGTTCCCATTCAACATCCAACTGAGAGAGAATCACAATAAGTTAGTTCCATAGGTAGTCTTCTCCTATGTCTGTTGACGATTTGAGTTTGAGAACATGGTGCAAGATGAGAAGGTTCTACTATGCAAAGGAGTCAGGCATCGCAGAAGGACTCGGGCTATCTATGCCTCTCATGAGCAGAAGTATGGAACTTACGGGATGAGAGGATATGAGTCGAT